CACGAGGAAATATATGTTAGGGCGACCCCGCGTAGCAGTCGCCGATGCCCGTCAATGACTCCGATGCGCGACATGGATATGAGAGCCGCTCACTGGATAAGGCCATGCACTCTTACAGATATGTCTCATCGCTGATCAATGATATATATCATCCAGGCAAATGTAGTCCGCTTCTACTAGGTAACTTAGGTTGGAAGTACTCAGGGCCCGGGCTTTAATGTACCTTCCGAAATCGGGGCGGAGCGAGCCCCGATGCAAAGGGGGCAAAGCGGGCAAAAGGTGCAAAAGGTGCAAAGCATGCAACGCAGCACGTGACGCACACCGCGTGTTCCGTGGTTAGTGCTTACTAAGGTCTTCCTCGACGGTGGGAAGAACCTCGGCGAAATCATCCCATCTTCCTTCTGCCGCGATGCAACCATGGCGAGACACCATCACATTTCATCGACCGAGATGCGATCGGCGTTCCATCACACGGCTCAACGCCCTGCCAAGCGGACGAACCCATTTTTTGAGTCCTTGAGTCGACAACGTCCTGTTTCCACGCCTGCCTGGCGCAAACTACCGCAAATCCCGTTACACTACCTAGAGTCCCAGACACACTTCGTGCAGGCTACAACTCCTATCACAGACTCCAGAGTCATGAATCGCCCCCCCTGTCCTCCTCCCCCAATGAACTTCTCGCGTTCTCGGTCAGCACGGTGGGGAATCGGGCCCAGTTTTCCCGGTGCGGCGCATTCCAGCCCAGTGCAGCGCCGCGATAGGCACGCGAACCCCACCCAGGATCTAGATTCACCCCCCATGTGGAGGCGGCTTAGTTCCTGCCCTCTCCCGATCCAGATCGCACTGTACACGATGTGGCCAGGAGCCCCCGGTGGGAGGGCGGGCCCGGTTTCAGTGCTGCCAGGGCCTGGTTGCTCTTATCACTCGAACCAAGTCGATCTCAATCCGACTTTCCAGCTAGCACTCGAGAACCTTTGGGTCCGGCGAAGTTTAGATTGATTATCCCGTCCACGCAGTCTAGCGTCATTTATTCCACCGGATTGCATCAGGAAAGGGGAAATGAAGTCGCCAGCTGCATCCGCCACATGGTTGGTCCCCTCCCCCACGATGATCCTCCAGCCTGCGATCCGCTCCTGGACTGGCCTTGAGCCCGCCCAAAACTAGATAAAACCGGCCTGCGACTCCCCTCCCGACTCCAGTGAATTTTTTTCTGCTCTCTTTCTCGCTTGCCACTCCGCTCCCACGCTCATGGCTGCTCAGGAGGCCGTCTTCGCCGTCTCGGCCCAGGCCACCCAGCTGGGGAACCGCATCTCGGTGCACATGCTGGACTACCTGAGCACCGTCCACGACTTGCCCGACGGGTTTCGCGAGTTGTCTCAGACCTTCCTTGACACCTGCCGCGCTCTCTGGGCCATTGACGCGGGCCTCACCGATTCCACCGCCGCCAACCGCGCTCTACCCGAGGTCATTGTGGAGGAGGTGGCGAAGAAGTTCGTCGCCGCGTATCGCGATTTTCAGCATCTCGACAAGCTCGTCACGAAACTGATCCAATACGAGCATCGTGGCGCCCTGGGGAGGCTTCAGCGAGGATGGCACCGCCCCAGCCACGAGCTCGGCCGCATCCGCGAGTCCCTCCAGAAGACGACTGAAACGCTCCAGATCAGCGTCCTGGCCTTCCATTGGACTCTCGGGGAACAGCCGTTGGTGGCCGAAACGGTGGGCATTGGCTACGCCGGGCTGGCGGCGGCACTTGACCGCATGGCCAAAGGTCGGTCGGTGATGGGCATCAACAAGGCCAAATCCTTAGAGCGCATAGCCACGCAGATGACCTCCGTGCCTTCATCGCCCGTGCCCTCGGTGCCTCCGAAGGAGCCACTCGTTCAATCCGCGACGGGCATCAGCAGTCCACCTCAGTCCAATCCCGATGACACCCTGTCCTCCGTTCTCTCCCTCGATTCCCTCCTCCTCTCGAACCACCACGATCGCGATCTGCCCCCGTCTCCCCCCCTGGAGCCCTTGCCACGATTGCCACGACCAGACAGTCCACCCCTTCGGACGAGCTCGCGGGAGTCTCGTGCAGAGACTCTCATGGCCCCTGAAGGCGATACATATGGGGAGATCCTCACGCAGACCCGGGCGTACAATTCGTCCCCCCGACCGCCCCATCGCACGCCCAGCCGGACCAGCGCGGCCAGTGCCACCCAACTACGCAGCGCCCTAGCCTCCGCCGTCCGGGGCCGAAACCACAAATTACTCGAGCAGCTTTTGGACAGTGGAGTGTCACCCAATCTGGGAGAACACCTTCATCCGCTGAACGAGGCCGTGCATCAGCGGGACTTTGAGGGGATGCGGCTGCTCCTGCTATTCGGGGCGAACCCCAACGCACCAGATCGGGAGGGCAAGACGCCATTGCTCGTGGCGGTGGAAGAGTCTTTTGTAGATGGCGCGACCTTGTTGTTGAAATACCGCGCCGATGCCAATTACGCCCCGGAGGTGGGGCTGGACTCGCCGCTAAGCCGCGCGATCGCAAACGGCAAAATCAGCATGGTGCAACAGCTGCTCGCGCATGGAGGCAACCCTGATAACGAGACACCGGACGGCAGCACAGCACTGATCGAGCTGATCCATCATCGTGCGCCACCCCAGCTCGTGAGCCTTTTATTGGAGGCCGGCTGCGACCCGAACCGCAAAGGCCGCCAGGGAAAGACAGCCCTCAACGAAGCAGTGCAGAGCGAGCAGGTAAATGTGGTGACAGCCTTGTTAAAACACGGAGCGAACCCGAACTTGCCCGGCCCCGAGCATGTCCTCTGGCTGGCCATCTACCGTCCTGCCTGCTTGCGGGTGTTGCTTACTGGCGGAGCCGACATCAAGAAGACTCCTGGCCTCATGGAGCAGGCTACCAGCATCAATAACATCGAAGCGGTCCGCATCCTGCTACAGGTAGGAGTCGATCCCAATGCTAAGAAGGATGGTATCTACACGCCACTCTGCTCTGCCATTCGCGACGATCGGTCCGACATTGTCGGCTTGCTGCTGGAACATGGTGCCGATGCAAACGTCATGGCCTCCGAGTACCCGGCTTGGAAGTGTATCACTCATAATCGTCCCCATTACCTCCCAGCCTTGCTGGCTGCCGGTGCTGATCTCCATCAACCGCCGGGGATCGTGGAGATGGCCGTTCAAGTCAACAACCCCGAAGCACTGCAGTGGCTGGTTGAGCACGGAGGGGCGAATGTCAACGACCGCAACGCCCAAGGACATACAGCCTTGACGACCGCCATCCGGGAGAACCAGTCCGAGATGCTGAGTTATCTTCTAGCCCACGGGGCTGATCCCAATCAGCGAGGCCAAGATTGGCCGGTGTGTATGGCGGTGCGCTCTCCCGCGCTGCTGCAGCGACTGCTCCCGATGGTTCCCGATCTGTCCGCCCACAAGGGCGTCATGGAGATGGCAGTCTTGGCTAACCAGCTGGAGAGCATCAAGCTGCTGTTGGCTGCGGGTGCCAGTGTCGAGTATAAGAACGGCGGCGTCTTCTCGCCGCTAACGACCGCGTTACGAGAGCGGCACGTTGACATTGTGCGCTTTCTGTTGGAAGAGGGCGGCGCTGACCCCAATGCCCCCGGTGAACATCTTCCCCTCGTCAAAGCGGTTCGCCGTGTTATCAACGGCGACTATTCTATGGTCGAACTTCTTCTCGAAAAGGGCGCCGATCCCAACAAAACTTACCGAGATTGGAACGCGATCATGCAGGCGATCGAGTACCGGGACCTGCACTTGCTGCAGCTCTTGGTCCAGAAGGGCGGCGGCGCCGATCTTACGCAGCACGATGACGCTGGCCAGACGGTGTTGGAGATGGCTGATGCTTCCGGCTGGTCCGAGGCTACGCAGTTCCTCCTCGATCACGCGCGGCCTTGACTTTAGTTTCTTGATTCGGCTTCTCTCTCTTTTCACTAATTTCATGTATTACCAACGCTGTTATGTCCAGCTCGACACCTTGTTTTCCTATGTTTGTTCGCTTGACGTCATATCTAGACACCTTGGGCTCGCGCCAAATCTCTTTGCTTGACCTCATTGCTATTTCAAGATTCCCTCATCGGCTTGGAGCTCGAGCATAGACCTCGCCTATTGGCGATGTATCACGTGCCACCGATGCCTATTATGTTCAATTCTCTTGTGCTGCTCCTGTCCATTTTTTTTTTCTCTCGCAGTGTTCCATCTATATATCCTCATTTACATTCCATTAATCTGTGTGCCAGGAAGCATGACCTGTAACCTCTCTGTGATGTATACTGTACTCAGCTACTGGTTTCTGATATATCGTCTGGTATATCGAATCGGATCGAATCGGATTGAATCGGCCAAAGGATCGGTTTATATTAAGTATGCAGAGGTTTGCAAGTGCTTAGGCCAATCAATACCAATCGGTATATTCTTTTCTGTGGTCTAAGCAAGCACATACGACCACAGGGTGTGGAAAACAGGGCTTCCCGTCCGCTCAGCCGTACTTAAGCCACACGCCGGGAGGTTAGTAGTTGGGTGGGTGACCACCAGCGAATCCCTTCTGTTGTATGTTTTTCTTGCCATTGAAGTCATGTCTACTGAGGACGCAGATCATAACTCGCATATTTTTTTTCTTTTGTGTCTTTTGTGAAATCTTAAATCTACTGCAACAAACGCCAGACTTTACTAGACCCCTTAAACTTTCTAATCTACATAACTATAGAATCAGTATTATATAAGAGCAAAGGGCTCTTTTCTGAATCAATGACACCAATCTACCCCCTACGGACCTCTGGCGTCTACCCCCTTACACAGGTCCAATTCATCCTCCGCCACCTGGCTGACGGTCTTATGATGCTGCCCATGAGCATGACGACTGCTAATGGCACGGAGAAAAGCCCCCAGAAACTCTATAGTTATAAAAATTAATCCGACAGCCACCATACTAGTTCAAATCTAACTTAGCAGTAGAATAAAATCTTATAATCAAATGGCGTTACTTATATCCCATTCAGAACCATAAACTTAGCCTCTTCTTGTATTATGGGGTTTCCCCATCCGCCCGCCATCTCCGGGATTCTGATTAATGTTAGCTTGGGATTTGACGTGATCTATGTCTAAAACTTATAGAAAAGCATACACTTGTAGATACGCCAAATCAAGACCGTCACAAAAGCCACCGCCTGACACCCCCCGAGGCCCGCAAACCCCCTCCGGTTCAATGGCTCCACAGCGAAAGGGCCAGACCCAATCTCCTCTCTCTGATGCAGGTTCAACTTCCTCGTACAACCGATAGTCAAAACCCCACACACCGCCATCGTCGCTGCCTGGAAGGCGATGTCTGCGATCATGATGTTCGTCCCCCGCACGTACCATGCTCTCAGCCCCGTTGCCGTTTGATGCGGTGACCTGGAGCCCTCCCCCCCGGCTAACTGTGTGCAGAAGCCAATTGCGTGGCAGATCATGAAGAGGCACGTGTCAAGCTGCGGGTTGAGGAGCGAGGAGTGGGGACCGCAGGTGAGGACGATGGTCTTGACGGTCAGGTAGAGTGCGGCAGCGAGAAAGAAGGGGGAGACAATGAGTAACAGGGTCTGGATAATGAAGCCGCCATTACTCCATGGGTTGGCGTGGAGAGCCGTGACGTCTCTCTTCGACGACTTGCAAGCTATAGCTTGCGATGATTTAGTCTACCAGAAGCCCATCTCAGGCCTTCAAACGTCAGTCTACAAGGCCAATGACCGGGTGATAGGGCCACAGAATACCCGTCTCGTCGCCGCATGGTCAACGAACGTCTCCGAGGAGTACTGGGCGCGGCTGCGACGCCATGAGCCCGTGGCGCTTTGGGTGCTCACTCACAACGCCCTGCTGCTGCAATGCTATGAGAAGGACTACTGGTGGATGAAGGGCTGGTCGACTAGTTTCCTCAAGGCAGCAGAGGGGGCGCTCACGGTGACGCAGAGGGATCGGCTAGGATGGGAATGGTGTTATGGGAAGATCGTGTCCTTGAGAGATTGGAGAGATAGCGGCCAGCAGGAAGAAGAAAATCCGCGCTGCGCGAACTAGTCGGACTACAGCAGGAAGCCGATAATGATGAATAGCATCATATACCCTAGAAATCACCAATATTTAACTTTAACTCTTTATCTGGTTCCAGCAATGGCTAATTCAAAGGGTTTGCATTCAATCTCAGGTTGTCTGGATTGTGTAGCTGCTAGATCACATCCAGGCCCACGGTACGAGTACATTGGCAATATAGAATCCAACCTTCCTCTCCGGTACTCACTGATACCCACTGCCCTATGGAGAAGACAAAGACCAACTCCCGAATAAAAAAAGCTATGGTTGAGTTGCAAGCTTTGCGTTTCCTACACTCTTGCAGCGACAAGAACTGCGGATACGTAGCCAAACTGCGACAGTCAGTGGCCAGGAGCAATGCACCGAATTGAGACGGCAGACCCATGAGTCGAACCGATCACCCCGTGGGATGCCCGTGGGATGCCTCGCATAGGGCTAGAATTCGTGTCCAGTCCTTGGCCCGAGCTCTTTTACCGAGCAATTCCGGCTAAATGGGATTCATGCCGGCTGCTGTGTACCTGCATGCAGGTAGCGAGAATACAGGAAATACAGTCAATACAGGCTGAACGGGCCGTCACGCCGTCACTGGAAATTACTACCAGCCAAGTTAATACTCCACGGACCCTGCGTATCTCATTATATGCAACTGCCGAAATGTGGGGTTGCACGCAGCTTTCTTCAGGCACCCGTGATCCCTCTGCGTGCGCTCCGCGCCGGTTTGGGATTGTCTCAGCGCCACCCACCGATGCTGTCCGATGATTGGATTCAATCTCGTGGCTTGACCTCCAGGGTATACTTGCACTGCAGCTGTGGCAGGGATAAGGAATATACTGCCGACGGCTCCTCTATCCCGATCGAGAACGGAGTAGGGCTTCCTCGGGTGAGCATCGGGGCACCTTGGAATTCCTGGTCATTCCGACCAGCCTCATATTTCAGAACGAAGAGTCGGAACAGACACGGAAGACGGCGCTGCGTCCCAGGGAAGCGCGGCAGTTAATCCGTGAGCCCGTGGAATTGACATATAAAGTCCTGCTCCTCCCCGTCCACTGAACAGTGAAAGCAGTGCAACACAAATCGCCCGCTTCCTCTATTTACTGTTACTGTTTTGTATTCTCGTCTCTCGTGTCAAAATGCGCTATACATTGTCTCTCGCAGCGGCGCTGCTGCCATGCGCAATCCAGGCCCAGCAAACCCTGTACGGACAATGTGGTGGTCAGGGCTATTCCGGACTCACCAGCTGCGTGGCAGGAGCAACATGCTCCACCGTGAATGAATGTAGGTATTGTGTGGATCTGAACTTTTGACAGCTAAGTGACCATGGTCTTTAGACTACGCTCAGTGTACGCCAGCAGCAGGCGCCACCTCTACCACCTTGAAGACGACTACTACCACTGCTGGGGCGACCACGACGTCTACTACCAAGAGCTCTGCTTCTCAGACGTCTACTACCAAGACCTCTACCGGCACCGTCTCGACGACCACGGCTACTACCACGGCCAGCGCGAGTGGCAACCCGTTCAGTGGGTACCAGCTCTACGTGAACCCTTACTACTCCTCCGAAGTGGCGTCGCTGGCCATTCCATCTCTCACTGGGACACTTTCCTCGCTCCAGGCAGCGGCCACAGCCGCGGCCAAGGTGCCTTCTTTCGTCTGGCTGGATGTGGCCGCCAAGGTGCCGACGATGGCCACCTACCTGGCCGACATCAAAGCCCAGAATGCCGCTGGAGCCAATCCCCCGATCGCGGGCCAATTTGTGGTGTACGACCTCCCTGACCGTGACTGCGCCGCTCTGGCCAGTAACGGCGAGTACTCCATTGCCAACAACGGTGTGGCCAACTACAAGGCCTACATCGACTCCATCCGCAAGGTCCTCGTGCAGTATTCCGATGTGCACACCATTCTGGTGATTGAGCCCGACAGTCTCGCCAACCTGGTGACCAACCTCAACGTGGCCAAATGTGCCAACGCCCAGAGCGCCTACCTCGAATGCACCAACTATGCCTTGGAGCAGCTGAACCTCCCCAACGTGGCCATGTATCTTGATGCTGGTAAGGTGCCCTCGCGAGCGTCCTTGGGGAGAACCCCCAGACCCCCCTTTTCTTTCACCTTCCCAGAAAACGTCCTGTCAATACATAGATCCAACCAAATTTAACCAAGATTACAGGACACGCCGGCTGGCTCGGCTGGCCCGCAAACCAGCAACCGGCCGCCAACCTGTACGCGAGCGTCTACAAGAACGCCAGCTCCCCCGCCGCCGTGCGCGGCCTGGCCACCAACGTCGCCAACTACAACGCCTTCACCATCTCTTCCTGCCCTTCCTACACCCAGGGCAACAGCGTCTGCGACGAGCAGCAGTACATCAAAGCGATTGCCCCGCTTCTCTCCGCCCAGGGTTTTGACGCCCACTTCATCGTCGACACCGGTATGCCAGCCCCTTATCCGCTCACACCCCCCCTCTGGCAATACTAACATGAACTCCTAAATGCAGGCCGCAACGGTAAACAGCCGACCGGCCAACAGGCCTGGGGCGACTGGTGCAACGTCATCAACACCGGGTTCGGCGTGCGCCCGACCACCAACACGGGCGATGCGCTCGTCGACGCCTTCGTCTGGGTCAAGCCCGGCGGCGAGAGCGACGGCACCTCCGATAGCTCGGCGACCCGCTACGACGCCCACTGCGGATATAGTGATGCCTTGCAGCCGGCGCCGGAGGCGGGCACCTGGTTCCAGGTATGTTACCTATTTTCATACACGTTGATGACGCAGACTGGACTAACTGATGGGATTGTGGTGTAGGCCTACTTCGTGCAGCTGCTCACGAACGCCAATCCGGCTTTCTAGGACTGAGAGGGAGGGCACTGGATGGTTGGATGAGTCGGGGACAGCATCGCGGAGTCCACGCCGAAGACAGGATGTAAGGTCTTTGCATATGCCTCGAAGAACACTTAACATGGGACTCAGCAGTTCCATAACATCTGCGCTAGACAATAAAGACACACTCCAACCTGATGAGGGGCAACCCGTGTAAGCGGCCGTTACGATGATGCTCTGTAATAACAATACGTTTTTGCACTGTGTACCATGTTGCTCGATAGAGTGCTATTTAGAGAAAGTAACCCGAAGTTCCGATCTTATGAAAAGTCCGCTCAAATGACGTCCAAGCATATGCTAGAATAAGATTGTCTTCACATGATCCTCATCACTAGTGCATTCATCATTCTCACGTCCTGGGGTCGCGGATAACGATGAAGCAAATCTTGTATCTAGCGATAATATTGGCTCAAGCTGACATTACTGTCACATATTTTATGCTGCGGCTTGGTCGAATTAATGATACGGATATCTTATATTCGCGAGATGCCCTTAACGGTAGTCCCCACAGAGCCTAGAAGAAGTGATGCGGTGTGTCAAGTGAGGAGCACGTGAGTTAGGGTTCGTCAACACGACAAGATACCAGATAATCCGGGACAAAATTACATCACTGTATAAGCTGAACCACCTTGCAAAAGTTATATCATCGTGTTGGAGCATTGAAACCACCTGCGTCGTTCTTTTGACTTCGGATTCCAGATCGTAATGCAACATGCACCTAGGCTGATCTTCCAGTTGGCCGCATCCATGTGGCCAAGTCCACTGCAGCAGACGGAAAGCTTCATTGCCACACCCTGTCGTCAAATGAACGGGACATTTCGCAAGAAGAGCAAAAGCGTACCACCTAGTAAGCACCCCCAACCGATCCGAACACCGTCTCAATATCCGCCCGGTAGAGCTCGAGGGAGCGGGCGCGCTGTGGGTTGCCCTTGACGCTGAGCGGCAGGGGCCGAGACGGGTCAGTGAAGACTGCAAGGTCGCGGCGGAGGGTGGCGGGGATAGGACACAAGGCGTTTGCCTGGTCGAGCAGCGGCTGGAGCGTGTCCCAGATATTTGCGGTCGGAAGAAGCGCACGTTTCGCGTCCGGCTGGAGGTCCAGCAAGAGGGCAAGGCCGCCGTGGCGCTCCTCGGCGATCAAGGCCCAGCGGACGGCGGGATGGGCCTCCAGCATCCACTCCATGTCGCGGGGCAGGAAACGCCGCGGCGGGGAGCCCACGAGGTCCGCGCGACGGCCGCAGTAGCGCCAGCAGTCGGGCTGCGTGGGGTGTCGCGCGAACAGATCGCCCATGGGGTACTCGTCGCAGTCGCGGAACATGGCAAAGACAGGCTGGGCGGGGGCGTCGGGACGTCGCAACAGCACCAGCTCGTGGTATGGCCCGCACACGGGGCGGTATTCATGCGGTACATCCGGGCTGAGTTTCAGATAGGCCCAGTCGGCCGGGTCGGGCAGCACCTCGGCGGGCAGCGTGCCGGACTCGGAGGAGCCGTAGATGTGCGTGATCTGGGTGTGCGCGGTGATTTGCGATGCCAGGTAGGGGGGGCAGGGGGCGCCGACGATGGCGAGCTGGCGCACGCGGCATAAATTGGCGGCGTAAGCCGGGGTGGCGCACGTCTCGGGCAGGGTCTTGGGTCCCAGAATGCAGGCAAAGACGTCGCCGTGTTGCAGGAGCTGGTCCATCAGCGTCGCGTTCATGGAGGGACCAGGCCCCGTCGTCACGGCGGGAAGAACCAAAGTCAGATCGAAGCAGAAGTTCATGCCCAGGAAGGGGAACAGGCCCGCGGCGATGGAGAGAGGCGTCAGCACCCCGACACGCTGGCCGCGCCACTGCTCGTAGTTGACAGGACTCGGATTCAGTAGTTTCTGGAACCCTACCGGCTGCAGATATACGGTGGCGTGTGTGAAGACAATGGGCTTGGCAGGCCCCGTCGAGGCAGAGCTGTGGATAACGGTGAAGGGATCGTGCAGCACTTCTGCCAACGTTGGCTTGAAAGCGTAAACGGGAGTCGTGGGTCCCCCAGCGGCCAGCCACTCCTCCAGCGTAGGGGTGACAAGTGCTGTCAGTCCGGACCTGAAGGTCCGAATAGCGTTGACCTTCTGCATTGCCGATGTGTGTCCACTGGGGGGATACAGCAGCAACTGGCAGTCAGTGTGCTCCATGAGCGACAGGTGCGTGTCGACGTCTGCGCTGGGGTGGCACGTCAGGGTCTGCGTCGGCCGATAGTGTCAGCGATCTTCAAATTGTACTCTAGCAAGGGAATGCATCTGCGTCTGCTCACCTGATATCCTGTCTTGACTGCGGCCAACGTGATGATGAAGTACGATAGGTCTTGAGGGGCCACATAATGCAGGGTGGCCCAGGGGGTTGGGGCGCGTCCCAAATGCTGCTCAATCCACCACGCGGCGCGGTTGACAGCACGGGAAAACTCCTGGATGCTGTAGTCACGGTATCCTTCGCCCGGCTGGTTCTTGTTGCGCAGAAGAGAGACCATGGGCTGGTCCGGACATAGTTCAGCGAGCTCATCGATCAGACGAGGCAGCGGGGTGGTGTGCCACCGCTGGGAGAAGTAGTAGGACACAGGATGGGCCATTGGCAGGAATAGAACGGGAAAGACTGTCTGTGTCAAAGTCACAACGGAATAGAATGACAAATAAGCATAATTGGGGTCGAGAAAAGACTGCGGAAAGATACTGAGGGGAGCAGAGGCCAGATAGGGGTGTTGTGTGATTTATAGGCCGTGGGCTCACACAAGAGGGGCCGGCTTTCGCCATACGGCTCAAGACCACATTCACTGCCCCACTCTTATCCAATTGGCGTCAGATAATGGTATATTAATGGGGCAATTAATATACCTAGTATGCAGGTGGACACGCTCTCCGGGCGGACGGTCTCCAAAGCCGCCGAGGATGTCATTTGAAATGCCTGGGGGTCAATCCAGGACCCCGTTTACGCGTTGAACAGGCTACAGCGCCAATATAGAAAGCGGACCAGAACGCATTTCGACCACACTGGATACGAAACTTTACTATATACAGAAAGACCATTACAACTCCGCCAGCCCTATACCGACTCAGCCTCGAATCGGACCTCATTTTTAACCTGAATCTGCCCCAGCAACAACTCCTCGCCGTTAGTACTCTCCGTCCGACTGGTACTGCGAACTGCGGTGGTGTGTAGTTGATGTGTCTGGGGGTCGACCCCGGAACCTGACAGAGTCTCGAACCCACGCCCGGTAACGTGGCTCGAGGGGAAATAGCGCTGGGAGGATTTGGACGTGTCTGTGGGTTCGATGTTCAGATTTCGCATGACCCAGCGGACAATCGGACGCATCGTGGGCAGGCAGGCGGAGATGACGCCAAAGGAGACCTCGAGCGAGGTCCAGATCACGGTGCCATTCATGGCCCCTGTTGGTGATGTGTAAGCTTTTCTGCTCTTTTCCAGTTGCTACTGGACGAACTAGACTCACAGGTGAAATCTGGATCATCGACTTTGAACTGCGTCGATAGTCGAATACAACTGCAAACCACCACACTAGCCCCGTCCATCTATTAGCACTTGCATTGATAAGACTGCAGATGGGAAGGGAGAAAGGGAAACGAACAAGCCTCCCAGGAGAAAGATAGCCGATAGAGTGACCTTCTGAATGCGAGTGGTCTGCAGCCCCCAAACCATGCGCAGTGGCAGGATCAAGATCATCACATCGGTACAGATGTTGGGGACCGCGTTCCCGACGTAGAATGCCTTGCTGCTGACGCAGGTGGCCGGCACCGACTTGTCCCAGAAGCCGTTCAGCGGCCGGCAGGAGAAAATGGAGATAAACCACACAATGACGGCCCAGGCCACGACCAGGCTACCGACGACGTAGACGGCGACGCGGAAGGGGCGGATTTGGAAGATGCGCACGTAGTAGGTGAGGATGGACAGCTTGACGGAGAGGATGGTTGCGGTGTAGACCATCTGGTACGCATACATGCACTACCGCGGATGCGCTCGGTCAGCGATGAGTGACTGCGCTGCATTCAAGCAAGGCACAGAGGGCGAAGAGGAGCACAAACAAACCTTGAGATATTTGGGGATGTTCCCTGTGGACACGACAGCCAGATGACGGCCTGATCCCAGTCCCACCACTGCATGTTCCGCGTGTTAATGAACCAGAACACCTCGAGGGTTCCAGGGTAATACGGAATACGAGGGCAACCGACTGATGGTGGAAAGACTGAAGCAGCCCAACGAGCAAGCCAATCCCACAATAATTAAATAGTCATCCAAGCCAAATCGCAGCCGAGTCAGTGATTTGGCCAGCAAACGGAGGACGACGGCAATGATGGATAAGACGGCAAATGGGATGATGGCGCCCAGGGTCTGGCTCTGGGCACTCTGGGAGAGGGAGGCGGTGGTCATGGTGGTCGTGGCGGTCAAGAAGACCAAAATGACCAAAGTGACCAAAGTGACCAAGGCGCAAAGATCACCAAGACTTAAACAGACTATATGATGTAAAAAAGAGGGAAGGAGAGAGGAAATGAGAAAGGCGGAGGATGGGGGGGGAGTGTAAGGAAAAGATGGGGGAGGGAAACGTGCAGAATGTCTATCTTACCTTGTCTTCCCACGTTCCATTGTCTGATGTGCAGATTACCAGTGTTTCTGACTTCGGCCCCCCTCGGGAGACCAAAAGTGGGCCCTGATTGTACGCCTTGTAGTCTGGCCCCCAAGTTGAATCCAAGTCAGTCCAACAGACTGGCCCCTGCAGCTAAGGGATCCTGCGTTAGATTGAATCCGGTGTTGTCGGACAGGCCCGCGAATGGCACGGCACGGAACGGAGACCCCCTCCCCTCAATGGACCCAAATGGGCCCAAAGAGACTCATGAATGGGGCCGAGGCGGACGGACGGGCAGGTGAAGGGACTGTGTCCTGTAACTAGACTAAGAGCCAAGCTAATTAAGCTAATGGTGTGATAAGTGCAATACACGTGGTGGTTGGCTTGCCAACAACCGCTGACTGGCGGGGAATTGATTTAGCCCTACTTTACTTCATTAATGCCCGCCGCCCACCCGCGCCATCCTCCTCCTCCTCCTCGTCCTCCTCCTCGCCATTTTCCACCTTCGTCATCCAACTGCATCCTGTTCCCATTGTCTAGAACCCCTACTCCAAGATGGCCTCTTCGAACCCGACCTTGATTTTCTGCCCTGGGGCTTGGTATCCGCCCACAGCCTTTGAGCCCCTGGCCGCCCAGTTCCCCGACCACACTACCCATCTCGTTGCCTTCCCCTCCATTCAACAGGCCACCACCGTTCAAGACCTGCAGCCTGATATTGACACACTCCGCAATCTGGTCGAACAGGAGGCCAATGCGGGTAAGGAGGTGGTGGTCATCTCACACAGCTGGTCCGGGTTACCCGTGAACAGCGCGCTGGACGGCCTCAGCACGGCCGAGCGACAAGCCGCCGGCGCGACCGGCGGAGTGACCAAATTGATCTTCATCTCGGCATTTATCCCCGAGGTCGGCGAGAGTCTTATCGGAGCCTTTGGCGGAGTGGCTCCCGACTGGTATGACCGCGATGTGAGTCGATCGTCTCGTCCATTGGCGAATCCGATCGGATGCTAACCCCAACCGCAGGAAGCCAACGGCACCGTCAGCGCCGTCGATCCCTACCGCCTCTTCTTCCACGACGTCGCCGACGGCGAGAAGTGGGCCCAGACGCTGCGTCCGCACGCCTGGGCGACCAAGAACTCGCCTGCCCGCAGCACCGCCTACACCCAAATCCCCAGCGCCTATCTGCTGTGCGAGCACGACCGCGCCATTCCCTTGTTTGTGCAGCAGTTGATGGTAGACAAGGCCCGCGCCAAGGGGGCGAAAGTCACCACCGACACCGTTCCCACAGGTCATTCCCCATGGCTGGTCGATCCTGTCCCGGTGGCTGCGTTTGTGAAACAGAACCTGGCGTGAGGGGTCCGTCGAGCTAACGGCATCGATGTACTATCATAAAAGAATATTTATCCTGTAGATACAAACGAATGAACTGATATCAACATGACGTTGATTCTTCGGACACTTGTAAGCATTTGTGATTCAATCTTTTTCCTCGTTTTGTTCAAAAAAGATTTTCCATTCGCGTAGACTGCGTTTATCAAGCCAATACCGCCTCAATAACGTGGTCCGATCCCGGGGTCTGCGCATCCAAAGGCTCAATGCGGCGGACCTGCAGCCCGGCCCGCCCCAATATCCCCCGCCACTGCGCCTCCGTGCGCTCCATGCCCCCGAATGCCATCATGCTCATATCCAAAAAGGCCGCGTAGGGTGACGCGCCGCCTGCGTCTGGTAGGACCAGGTCGACAATGACCAGTCGCGAGGACGGACCCATCGCGACCACGGTATTCTGTAGAATGGTCGCGACCACACCATCGCTCCAGTTGTGGAAGATGTGACGGAAGAGGTAGGTTTGGGCTCCTGTAGAAGGATATAATCATCAACAGATGAACGAGAGAAGGATATTGTCATCGAGGGCGGGGAGGGGCCTTAAGGGAAGTCATACCGCGAACGGGTTGCGGCCGAAGAAAGTTGTAGGGCATCAATTCAACGCGCTCGCCGCCGTCCACCCCCTTCAAGACCTGGGGCAGGTCCTGCAGCACAATGCGACCGCGCGGCGGCGGATCCAGCTCGTCGCTGACCTGGCGGAGCACGGCGCCTCGTCCACCTCCCACGTCGACGAGCGTGACTGCTTTGGATTCATCGTCTGACGGGTTTTTTGAGGATGCCGTGAGCAGGCTGCGGAGGAAGGGCTGCAGTTGGCATACAGCGAGGGCGGCGGTGCTGGATTGGAAGGCAGCGAAGATGGCGCGCTGCTCGGGCTGCGACTCCAGCCACTCGAACATGGTCTGGTCGGTGTGGTGGGCGAAACCGAAAAGGGTGGGCTGCACATCCACCGGGTTCTGCCACTGGTGGGTTTCGAGGAAGTCAGGAAGCGCCGTCATCAGCGTCGCTGTCTCGGCCCTACGATCGACCAATTATTGATTAGCAGGGTAGGCAGCGTTTCGAGAGATTGAAAGAACTGCCAGGTATGGGGGGAATTACGCACATGCCCTGGATCACAGCCCGATGTTGGGGCTGGCGTAGAGTCTGCGATTGTCGGGTATGGGCGTAGACACCCGGGCTGGGTTCGGTGAAGATGCCGATGGCGGCCAGTGTTCGCATGAGACGCACTGCCCCGCCCCTCGTCATTAGTCGAAAGAAGATCCTCCCACCCCAAGCACGCCATCACCTACCAAGAAGCGCGACATCAATGCCGCAGCGTTGCGCCAGATCCGTGGCGGTGGGAAGCCCCTCGTCGAAGCGCTCGAACAGTCGGATGCGCAGAGCGGCGCGCAACACCCCGTGGGCCACAGGCTGGCGGGTTCAGACATGGCTCCCGGGAAAAGAAAGGCAGAGAATAATCGGATAACGTACTGCTTTAGCCAGATGCATCAATTGACTCTCGGGGGTTTCCAGGCTGGTAAGGAGATTACGCGTCGCTGCGAGTAGTCGCGAGTGTACCGCATCACTGGCGGGGGGGAGCTGGCCGGGGGTGCTGGTCGCGGCCTCTAATTGACGGGCCAGCGCCAGTATCGGACTGGGGGTCTCTATGGTCATGATGCGTGTCTGTCGAAAGGGAAAAAAATCATCAGAAAAGGCTTGCAGCTGATGGTAGTGGGGGGAAGGGGAGAGGAGGGGAGAGAAGAGATGAGGCGACACGCCAGCCTTATCAACGCGGCCCTAACTGTCCTGCACACGTTCTTCTTCGTATACCGTTGCGACTTCTTTCGTGGCCGGGCTTAATCCACTCGTAAGTGCCTTGATTTAGCTACCGTTTTCTGTAATGTTTTATTACTGACTCAGTTCATCATCTTCTGGTCCCTCCGGCCTTTGCCCCAATCACGTTAGGCTGGCCTGGCCCTAAATGTGCTGGTTGATGTGCTAGTTGATGTGCTAGTTTCTGCAGGCTATAGTTCGCGTACTATAGTCTGCACGCTAGGGTCTGTACGATATAGTCTTCACGCCCTAAAAGGACTAGCGTCACGTTAATCGCGCTAACGTGCTAAACGTGCTAAACGTGCAGACAAATTCTGTCCTATTGGTTTGATAATATATTAATTACCTAGTAAGCCTCCCCTGCGGACTTCCGGCCTAACGCCACCTCCAGGGTAAAGTCGAATCCCGCCCCCTGGCGACACTCGTCCGCAGCCTGACCGATAAGAGTGCGCAGACGCGGCCCGGCCGCCTCCGACGTACTGTTATCCATAGCCAGATAACTGTATTCCTCGTTGGAGTTGAACTGGAGTTGACTCCAGTAGACGCGGCTGTGCGGGCTGCACGGATGCAGTTCCTTGCGCACGTCCACCATCCCATGCTGCGCAAAGAGATCGGGGAGACCGGGCACCCAGCTAAGCACGCAATTCGGTTAGCATTAATTCGTATCGGTGCCTGTGCGTGCAGGGGATTGATTAGCATCGCGGATCGGGTTGCTTACCGTCCCAGGCCCGTTTGTTTCATCAACTTCATCATCTCGTCCAAAGCGGGGGTCTCCCGGCCGCCCACCGACTGCACTGACCACGACTCGTAGTTGTGTTCCGACCATTGCAGCCACCCACCGGGCTCTATGGTATTTTTCACAGAAAGGTTAGAAAGAGTGCGCGAATAGAAGGGAGTTAGGAGAAATTAAAGGAAAGTAAAGTCTCACTCAGCATCCGCAGCATATTCCGCAACACTGGACCGGGATCATCGTTTCGAATCACTACAAAGAATAACCGTAGATGCACGACGTCGTAGATCCCCTCCAGCTCGGTGGGCAGCGGCTCATACAGATCCAGCTCGCGCAGCCGGACGCCATCCGGCAGCCATTCCGGCGGCGGACATTGGGCGAACGAGATGTCAAATCCGTCGATCTGCGCGGCAGGATACTCGCGCTTCACGTCCATCATCCAGATGCCCGTGCCCGTGCCAATGTCGGCGATGCGCGGGGCCGAGTCGGGGGTCAGCCCGATGCACGGATGCAGGCTGTAGCCCAGCGCATCCTTCCAGAGGTGATTCTGGGCGTTTAACCTAGATGAGGGGAGTCAGTCTTTCTATGCCACTGCCTCTCGGAGGCCCAGGCGACCGTGGAGTTCTGCTTTACCGAGCGGAGGAGTGGTAGTTCCGGTGCAGCGCATAGCTATTTGTGGGAGGTGACATGGCTGGGGACAATTCGGGTTTTGTGGTTTGATTTCTCTGGGTGAGGAAAAATGGGAGGCAGAGAACAGATATAAGGTTGCCCTAAGTCTCGCCTCACAGAAGGTGCATTATCCCGGAATGCCTTGCCCCAGCGTGCCGTACTAGTCGTAGGCCGCAAGATACTTTAGGCTTAGAGAAGAGGGCAACCAACAATGATCTAGTACGATAAGATAATAAAACAGCAATACCACGATACCACATTACATCAATACGGCCTCGGCGCAGTTAGTGGGGCGTGGGGGCCAATGCCGCTAAAGTGCTGGGCCCCGCCACAGTGGGACGCATGGCACCATTCGATTCAATAGCCTCAATGACATTGTCGGCCGTGCTGATGATGATGCTCCTCCCTTCCCTCAAAGCTCAAAGGATCACAATAGTCAGTTAAGGCACGATAGAGCCGGAAAGGAATCATCTCAGCTTAAGCATAATCCCTCCGTTGCTCGATCGATCGAAGCGGCCGGGTCTTCCCAACATGCGGCGTTTTGAACTCCCTGTATAGCCCCCAGGTAAAGATCATTCGATATCCTCAGCCTGGCCAGCCCCAAAGCATGTGAGACCGAGTGTCGTCGTTGAGGCTTAAAAGTGTAGCTGAAGCAGGGATTTATGAACTAGGCCGATTCTTGTACTGCACATAACTGCAGACCACCAGGATGATCTTTCTGCCCCATTATCCCCAAGGATATAGACTAAGAAGGCGATGGCAGTACTTGGTCTTTGTCTTGAAATCAGCACAGCCTCAGTACATATGCTCTGAGCGGCCTCTCCTCAGTTGATATCAATATTGACATTGGAAGAGGCATTGGCCCGCAGAGAGTGGTTCCTGAAAGGCTTTGGGTCAGTAATCGTGACAAGCTCGATACAAACTCTTGTCATGCGAAGCTTCAGCAATGCATAGTAGTAATATAGCCAAGGCTGGTTAGAATAGGTTTATCACTTCCAGCGTCACTATAGTTGGAATAGTAGTTGACTGCCCGAAATTATATTCCGTGCCCCACTCTCTCAATGGAGTGGTCCCTGGCCAGCTTTGCGACACTCACGCGATTGGTCTTTGAGCCGCGTCACTACGAGGGTTGGATGATGCTACTGATTAGCTCCAGATGTGTTGCAGCAGATCTGTTCGGTGGGGGACAGTGTAGGAGGACCATAGGAATAGGGGTTCAAACTTTAGGTTTGCTATCTTATAATGTGTGCGAGTCTACAGAATATCGCGCTTTACCCACCTCCTGACTTCTGTTGTTGTCTCTTGTCCACAAAATTTTGTTTTCGACCCTCCTTGAGGTCGAGTTATGGACTACAATATATATGATGATAGTTCCGTGTCAGTGGCACCACACTGCCGCCTGGAAGGATGAAAGTATATTCTATATTGACATCATAGCTGATCACAGGAACCAAGTAGTTTAATGCAGTGAGCATAAGGTGAAAGCTTCTTCATGGGAGGGATAGACGTCTTGAGCCTATAGATCTAGTTGTGTCATGGGTACTGCACAGGTAGATCTAGGTTACAAGTTACCTTGACTAACAAAATCGTGAGACTCGGGTCAGCCATACAATAGTAATATAAAGAGAGATATCGATACTTATATTGTTATACTTCTTGTGTCTTTATTCTGCTGTGAATCTCGTCATTCTCATTGGTGTTTAGTTGTGATCCCATCCGGAAACGGTATACATCACGTGACCTAGACACACCTGGGATGGCCCTCAGGGCTATCCACAGCGCAATCAAGACATACTACGGAGCAGATGAAGCTGAGGCTGCCGCAAAACGTGTGGAAAGAAGTGAATCGGACCTCGAGTCGAATATGCTAAGTTGTAGAGTATCACTTTTACATCAGACATACTCCCTTGTCCGCTCTGTTCGGATATGATCCCCAGGGAACAATCCAACAGCTGCTCGAATTGTTGACCCAGGTATCCCTCTCAACCATGGATCTTCCAGGACAGCACTCCAAGGCTGTCGAAGAGAAACGAAAGTAATGCAAGTACTAATGTCAACGTGGCTTCAACTTCCCCGCATTCTAGCCCAGATTTTTATTGGGGAGAAGCCCTTCCTAACCGTGCCTGGAATAGCGCGAATAGAAGTGAAGTCGAGATCACCAATCCAATCAACCAATGCAAAGCGCCACTGATTTGCAGTCTGTCTTGCTGGTTTCCATCCAGCAGCTGGATACTCATCCACTTATCCCCGCCTCGGTTATCAGTAGGATGCACTAACAAATGTACTGATATCCCATTCGTTGACCCTACCGCTTATCGAACCCCTCCCCGTCGCGTCCGCCCTGATAACTGATAACCCCTCGGACGTAACACCCCTCCGTCGCTTCTACCCTTTTCCCCCAAACAAATTGATATCATGGCTGCCTCGGGTCGTGTTTGCGCTCGATGCGCAGTGATTGTGAGTCTCTCCCTGGCTTGCTGCCTCCATCTGAGACTGATCTTGGGGTGACTTGGCACAGAAACAACGCTGTGACGGTGCCTCGCCCTGCTCTCGCTGCGCACGTATGCTTGTACCTCTTCGATATCATGGGGTGCTTTAGTACTGACTACCCAGGCCTTGGTCACATTTGCGAGCCCCAACAAACCGGGAGGCCAAATTCTGAAGCCCAGTCGCTGGCTTATCGCCGGCCCAGAGCCTCCCGGTCCCGGGGTGGATGTGTCTCCTGCAAGGCGCGGTAAGACGATACTGCATCCATCATGAGCATGCCCACCGTACTGACTGTCAGCCAATAGGAAGAAGAAGTGCGATGAGAAAAGACCTCGATGTAGCGACTGTCGTCGGTTGAACCTACCATGTCACTGGAAAGCCCCCAGGACACGGTCTCCGCCACCAGCGATCGTCTCCCCGCTGCCGTCGCCTCCTGGGATGCCCTTATCCGAAACTGCGCACGACCTCATCCTGTCTTCCGTTTCAGATCCAATCTCAGAGCTCGATCCGATCCCGCTTTCCGATCATCTCCTATCATCCGTCGGCGATGATCCGATATCGCCTTTTTCGCCCTCCTGGATCGATGTGGAGATGATCCTCGGACCCGTCTCGCCAACCCCAGACAGCGGGCTCAATGCCCATCTGCACAATGACGACGATCGCTGTCTCTTCAACCACTATGTCCAAGTCGTTGCCCGAGCCCTGTCACGGTCCACGACGAGCTCCACCGCTAACCCATTTCTGGCGACGTTGCTTCCCATGGCCGCGGCCTCGGAGACGCTCACCAGCGCCCTCTTAGGGCTGAGTGGCTGCCACTGGCGGCGCGTCTATCCCCAAATCTGGAATCGAGCCCTAACGCGACAAGGACGGGGTAAGTCTACCAAGTATTATCGACAACCATAACAACGACACTCAATCCTGGTTGATGTATCATTTGTAACATACTGACCATAACAGCCTTGTCGCAAGTCAACAATCTGCTCAGTCGCCGACCGAATCGGCAATCCTTCCTTGAAGCCTGCACTACCATCCTCCTGCTGTGTCTCACGGAGCTGTTCGAAGGCACCTCTCGCGCCTGGAAGTGGCACCTCAAAGCCGCCGGGCGCCTACTCAGCACGATCGATCGGCACCGGCTTGCCTCCAGCGGCGAAGGCACGTTCTGTCTTCAGCTCTTCCACTACCTAGACTCCATGTCCACCATCTCCCGGTGTAAGCCCCCGCTGTTACGGGCGGGCGAGCGCCTGACCGACCTTACTTTGGGGTCATCTCTCCCATCCTATCTCCCCGCCGCCGCCAGCACGTCGTCATCATCAGGGGACACGATATCTGGACTCCCTACGAGCTTACTAGAGTCTCTCGGTCGGGTTAATCTTTTGGCAGCGCACCGCAGCCGACGCATTGACGACCTGTCAGAAATCGGGTTCCGGACGGCCGCTGGACATGTACGCGCCCACCTGGACACCTGGCGCCGGGAGTACGAAGCAGTCCGCCCGGGCAGTGAAGTAGAGCATCTGGCCACGCGCGCCTTTGAGTGCGCGATCCGCTTACGACTGCATCAGATCGTCGACGGCTACGATCCTCACCATGCAGAGGTCGAACAGGCCGTCGCTGGCATCGTAGCCGCGGGGAGGGCCATTCCCTACGGCAGCCCCGTCGAGGGCAGTCTGCTGTTCCCACTGGTGATTGCCGGAGCCAGCAGCCGCAGCATGGAGCGACGGATGGGCATCAAGGAACGACTGATGGTGATGGAGAGCACCTTGGGCTGGGGGCACATTCTCCAAGCGCGGCAGCTGCTCGAAGCCGTCTGGGCGGACGACCGGGAGGACGCGAATTGGGCCAGCGTCCGCTATAGTCTGTATCCAGGGATAGTGTTCGTTTGACTGCTTGGGTTGAGCTACATGTGGAGTTAGTTACAGGACACCTCGAATGTACTGTGTTCAACCTTGTTTATTGTTGATACGGAAAACGGAACTTGATATATACATCTGATCTTCTCCCCCTTATTTACTGCACTTGAGCTCCTCCAGGTGCAGCTGCATATTATACCCACAGACCTCCTCAATAGTTAACTTGCCCGGCCGGTCCGTCGACGAGCTCCACCCGATGCGCTCGTTGAGGTCCTCGCGGGCTCGATAGCTGGCCGCTTGAATGTGGGTGGCACGGGGCTTACGTAGCCGCTCGTACAGCTGCAGCCCCTCAGCTAGGCTGTACTCCTCGGCGAAGGTGCGGTGGAGGATCAGCCCCAAGGCACCCGCGTCCTCAAATGCCATACATGAGCCCTGCGATTGGTCGGGCATCATCGGGTGAGCTGCGTCTCCGAGTAGGCAGACTTTGCCCTTGACCCAGTAGGGGTACGGCTGGTGACGGTACACTGGTCGAAATCAGCCAATTGTTTCCTTCAGGCCGACAGATGAAAGAAAAATAAAGGAGGGGCATGGAGGTCTTACAGCGCCACATCTTGATGTCCTCAGCATTGAGCAGCAACCGCTGCATCCGTTCATCCAGCCCCGGAAATGTGGCCACCAACTGCTCCGGGGTGGCGGAGATGTTCCAGCCATCTTCCCGGAGATTGTTGTGCTCGGCCGGGTAAAAGCAGTAGCAGCTCACGACGTCCCCGTCGCTGCAGGGGGACATAACGATCTTGTTGATCCCGATGCCGCCCCAGTACTCGATCGCGGCGTTGTCGATGTAGTCGTCCAGCCCGAGGCTGCGCAGCTTATCCGCGCTGATGATGCAGCGGTAGCAGCAGGAAGTCGACATGGTGAAATCGGGGGTGATTTCCATCTGGTGGCGGCTCTCGGACTAGATTAGAAGGAATTAGATTCTCTGTATTAGACTGGACACGAAGTTTCAGAGAGGGGATGTGTACGCGAATGCCATCCGCGGCGACGACGAGGTCCGCCGACGTCGTCTCGCCATTCTCGAATTCGATGCGACCGGCTTCCGCGTCCAGCGACACGGCCTTGTGATTCACTTTCAAGACGCACTGTGGGCCCTCTCCCGGCTCGTCGAAGGCGGAGCGGAGTAATTGTTGATGGATGTCAATCCGGTGGAAGTTGTTGTACTCCTGATGGGGTTCATGTCAATGGCATTAGGGCTATGCGGGTCTGGATGCCAGACTGACCGTCCCGAACTTGGTCTTGTAGTCCCCTAGGCCGTATTCTTTCTGTACTTCTCCGGTCGTCCAGTCGTGCATGATGAGTTTCTTTAGAATTACCTGTGCCTCACTGTGAGTATTGGCTAATCCACGAGAAGGTGGAAACTGACCGGCTTCGCAGCCTTGACATCGACCCCCCATTGCTCAAGAAAGCGGGATCCATTGGAGGCGGCGCTCAAAGATGCACCCACTTCGCCAGCGAAGTCATATCGCTCGTACACCGTGACTTGGTGCCCTTGGCGACGTAAAGCCACTGCTGCGCTGAGGCCACCGAGGCCGGCGCCGATAATGGCAATGTTCAGCGGGGAGTCGGTGCGGGAGGGCATCCTGAATGATTCAGAGATCAAAATCTGGTGATGAGTACCCCTGGGGTTGTCTTTATGCCTCATGGTCGAGTTCTGAGGCTGTGTTATAAATGTATCGCGAGGGTATTCCATAGAATTGATCATGCTCCCAACCCTTATCGTGCAGCCGACGGCTCGTATCTCGCGGGTTTATCTATGCGACGGCCGCAGGATTAGTCGGAAGCTTATCGCACTGGTTGCCTCCCAGTGACAGACAGCCAGCATTGATACCTCATCCTGATACAACGATGGACCTTTCTTAAACACCCTCATCATGCCATCTGCGCTCAATAGTCCTCGAATGCTGCTACCACCACCGCGGCATACACTATGACGGACACCAAAGAGGAAAAGCTGGCCGCCGTCGACTACGGCCTGGGCGATCTGCATGATGACCAAGCCCTGTTGCGTCGGATCGACTGGCGCATCCTGCCGACGATGTTCTTGACCTACTTGCTGCAGTTTCTGGACAAGGTCGCTTTGAATGTATGTTCCCGGATGGTCTCGCCGGGATACTGGTTGCTGATGGGTGATGACGGTAGTATGCCAACGTAATGGGGATGCAGGATGATCTCGGAATGCAGGGCAATGACTTCTCCTGGTTGGCTACGGGATTCTTCATCGCTTATGCGGTTGCTGAGATTCCTCAAGGTGGACAACCGTCTACTTCTGCTCCTCCCACAGCCCTGTGCCATGTCGCTGACGATAAGCAGGCTTCATGCTGCAACGATACCCAGTCACCAGAGTTCTCGGAGTCAACATTCTCTGCTGGGGGGTGCTCTTGTGCTGTTCGGCCGCGGCTCAGAACTTCGCCGGGATGTTGTCACTGAGAGTGATCCTTGGGGCGCTGGAAGCGGTCATCGGTGCGTCGGAAATTCCTGGTCATTGATGTCATACGAAGTGAGGTCTAATGGTTATCATTCACAACGCAGCCCCCGCGCTCACAATGTATACCAGCATGTGGTATACGCGGGCTGAGTCGACCCCGCGATACGGCCTGTGGTATTGTGGCCTGGGCACCGGTCAGATAGTAGGCGGGTTGATCTCCTTCGCGGCGCAACATACCGCGCCCACGCTCGCCTTCCACGGGTGGCGAATCATGTTCGTGGCCATTGGGGGGGTGAACATTCTCGCGGCACTGCTGGTCCTCCTCGGACTCCCGGTCACTCCGGCCGCGGCGGGGTTTCTGAGCGCCAGCGACAAGGCCCGCGTAGCCCAGCGGCTGCAATCAGAGCAGGCTGGTGGTGTCGAGAGGGAGAACGGCCTGCGCCCGAGGTCGTTTCTGGACGCGTTCGCCGATCTGCAAACGGCCCTGCTCGTCCTCTTGACCATCCTGATCACCATTCCCAGCGGCGTCATCACCACCTTCTCCTCCATTCTGATCAAGGAGTTTGGGTACAACTCCAAAAAGAGCGCCCTGCTCAACATGCCCTCTGGGGTGGTCAGCATCGTGGCGACCATGGGATCCACCCTGGCCATTGCTCGGGGCTACTCCCGGTGGCTGGCGATTAACCTGCTTCTACTGCCCACCTTGCTGGGCGCGTGTTTAATGTCTTTCCTGCCGGCCTCAAATCAAGCCGGTTGTCTGGCGGGTATATACCTGGTGAACACGGTAGGTTATCCTAGGCGGAGAGACGGCGGCTTAGGGGTCATCGGTGGTTGCTGACCTGGATATAGACTGTCGCGCCGCTAGCACTGATTTTCGCATGGACTGGTGCAAACTACAAGGGCTATAGTATGAAGGTACGCCATACGCAAGATTCCAGTAGCAGCAGCAGCAGCAGCAGAGCTGACCGATCGAATAGGTGGCGGGGAGTACGCTCGTCTCGGCCGGGTTCAGCATCGCCAACATCATCGGCCCGCAGACCTTTCAAGCCCGCGATGCTCCAGAGTACGCGTCACTGCCAGCATCTTCCTCTTCTCCCTGTTCTGTGTTGGTCAAGGCGACTTCACTAACCGATACAGGTATATTCCCGCCAAGATCACGATCGTCGCCGTCAACGCCGGTGCCATTGTCATCTCCACTACGCTGCGGGTGGTCTACGGCCGTCGGAACGCGCGGGCGAATCGACTAGGGCAAGCTGCAGGTAGTCGCATTGAGCGACAGCTGGAGGGTGCTGGGCGAGGGGGCGAGGGAGTTGACTTTCGTTATGTATATTAGGAGTTGCCAGGGAGATGATGGTGGATTGTTTTATCAACGCAGAGTACCGAGACAGAAGCTCTTCTAGGGAACAAAGGACCGAATATGCTATGCTATTCCTAATCTCATATGCCTCAAACCGAAGACGTACTTCGTATGGACAAGAAATAGAATCTTTCAACATAGTAGGCCTCCGACAATTCAATAAGTCGAGTAGTGAACAGACAGCAAAAGAAGCAAAACTTACTCCAAGTGTTCGTTCGCATGAATGAGTTGAACACGATATAAATCAATATGAAGAGGAATACAATGAGTGGCATCATCCGATAATAATTCCTCCGGAAGAGCAGGTCTACAAACCACCCTTTGTCCCAAAATATAAGCAAGAAAAATCAAGGAAGATAAGATATACCCCTAGCGACCGAGGCAATCCACAGTCAGGCCTTCCGTCTCCGCTTGAACCGCGCGAGAGGGGGGAGGGAGGGGGGGAAGGGGGGGAAGGGGAGCCATCTGCTAATCTACGCGACGGGACAATTTCCATACTGGAAGGAGAATAAATACCCATAATTGCTGGCCATGTAGAATATATATCAATTTTTAATTCGGTAGACACCCTCTTCTTTTACGATATTCTGCACAGTCTTTAGCCTGACTAACTTCCCCCCTCTTGGTTCTTCTCTTCACACTACAAATGCTCACCCTCATCACCGGAGCCAACGGCTTCATCGCCGCGCACTGCATCGCCGCCCTTCTGCGCGCCGGCCACTCCGTCCGCGGAACAGTGCGCACCTTGGAGAAAGCCAGTGCCACTGTAGCTGCCCTCCATGCTGCCGGGGTCGCCTCGCTGGACCGCCTGGAAATTGTCGTGGTGGCCGACCCCACCGACCTGGGGCAATTCGCTCCCGCGGTGGCCGGCTGCGACGCCATCCTCCACCTCGCCTCGGCCTTCACCTACAACGCACAACCAGGACAATTCGAGCAGCAACTCCTGCTACCTGCAATTCAGGGCACGACCGTCGCGTGCGAGGCGGCGCAACGTTGTCCGACCGTGCGAAAGCTGGTCATCATGTCCTCGTTCGCGGCGGTCTACGATGCGGCGCAGGGCTTGCAGCCTGGTCGGGTGTATACGGAGGAGGACTGGAGTCCCTTGCGGTATGAGGAGGGGCGGGATACGAATAATGTGGTATGTGCTCTGCATCCCCTCGCCTTCACTGTTGTCTTTCCTTCTTGCTGATGCATGCAGTTGACGACTCCTAGGCCCTCGCATACCGCGCATCCAAGGTCCTCGCGGAACGGGCCGCCTGGACATACGTCAAAGAGCATGAGGTGGACTTCCAGCTGGTCACACTCTGTCCTGGAATGGTGTTTGGGAAAATGATCCATCCGATCGCCTCGCTGGAGCAGCTGAACGCCAGTAATGGGATCGTCTGGGAGGTGGCGCAGGGGGGACGAGATGCACTCCCGCCAACCAAGGCTCCGGGTAAGAAGCCCTACCATGGTGCAACAACTGAATTAATCTTGATTCTTTATGGTACATAGTCTGGGTGGATGTGCAAGACCTCGCTGAGACCTGTCTTCACGCCTTGACGACGAACCTTTCCTCGCACCAACGGTTTCTGGTCACTGAAGGTGCGTACGACACACAGGAGATTGCAGACCTCCTGCGCGAGGCCATTCCCACAGCCCGAGAGCGGGTTCCGGAGGGGAGTCCAGGGGACAGGATACAGGAGACTCATTACGCTTGCGATTCTGGGAAGGTGAGGCAGATGCTCGGGGTCCAGTTTCGGAGCTTGCGCGAGTCGATTATTCCTTTGGTGGAACAGTTGTATGCGCTGGAAGCTGTTCAGGGTCCAAAGACATAATGAACTTCTTGCGGCCTAGAAGTGATAATTGAAGATTACTCTTATCATTATAATGACGATTGGCACTCCCATCGTGGTCCGTATTTTCATTATCCTTATTGAGATTATTACCCTACCTGGTGATATTGCTTTACTTTTCCTGATCATGCCTCCTCTTCTTCTCGTTGAGCCCCAGAAAGGATAATTGATGACCCATGAAGCACATCAATGGTTGAACTTATTGTGTTATTTATTTTTTTTTGTGTGGATTGCGAGATCTATATCTTAAATATAAACTACTGTACATCATGCAACGCCGTCTTCACATGCCCAGCAATCAAGTCAATGAACTCTCGTGCCTGCCAGAGATCTATTTCCACTCGCGTCAGCACAACAGCACAACCGAACCGGTACATCTGTATACGACAAGCAACACAGAAGGAAGCAACTCACCTTTATCCATATGCATAAACGGATGGGGCACCCCCTCGAACCGCCGTACCGTCACCTCACAGCCCCCCTCGATCAGCTTCCGGGCATAGGCCTCCCCCTCATCCCGCAGTGGATCGCAGCCCGCCGTGTAGATGACCGTGCGCGCCAACCCGGTAAAGTCTGCAGCGCTGAGAGCGTCAGCATACCACTTCACCTCCGCCAGCTGCTGCTTGCGCACGTCCTCCGCCGTGCTGAGACTACGCCACTTCAACTCATCGAACCACTTCAACCGCGCCCAGTTCAGCGTGGGCGCGAACTCCATCGCCTGCATGGACGGGAACGGCGAGTCGGCGGCCGTCGCGTAGGCGGAGATATCATCGATGACCGGGGTGCCCACTGCCACCAACCGCAGGGGAATTCCGTGGTCGCGCGCCAGGTGGGCGAGGATCAACGCGATGTTGCCCCCCGCGGACACACCTCCGAGGGAGATACGGCTGGTGTCGAGGCCGGGGAACTGCGCACGGCCGGCAGACGACGCCAGATGTTGCACTGCAGCAAAGGAGTCTTGGATGCCGATGGGGAAAGCGTGTTCGGGGACCAGGCGGTAGGCGACGTCGATTACGGCCACTTTCGCCTTGACGGCGATGTGTTTGCAGATGTGCGATTCGGTGTCTAGGTCGCCGAGGCCCCAGCCTGTCCTTGTATTCTGCAGTCAGCACTCGATACGATACACTCAGGAGGGAAAGGGGTCGCACCACCACCGTGGAAGTCGACGTGGACCGGCCAGGGTCCAGGGCAGTCGGGCTCATACACCCGGCAAGGAATTAGATTCCCCTCGTGACCTGGGATCGTGGTGTCGTAGACACGCGCAGGCTCTGGTGCTGGACCGGTACCGTAGGAGTAGAGAACCGAATACTTGGATCGAAGGACGGCGAGATCAACTGGTCCGCTTGGAGTGTGAGCAACATGTCTATTGTAGAGGTCGACAAAGGCAGGGTCGAGATGCGGCAAGACGGCCGGGTGGATAGGGTTCAGCGCTTCATGGGACATGGTGAGGATTCGGTGTTCCGTGCGGGTTTGGATACTTTCGAGTGCAATCAACGGGTCCCTGTGGGCTTAAATCAAGTACTGTACGAGAAGCCATTGCCGATTTCCGCGTCTATACTCACGCAGAACGTGATACGATAGGTTACCGTTCTTCTCTTGCGATTTCCCCTCTCATCTCGGCAATCTGATGCGTATCACCGGTGCAGCCAAGCCACCCCCGCATTGGCGCTTATCTATGCGACGGTCCGACGAAACGCTACCCGATAACACGGAATGACAGATACGAGACTGATAGCCCAGTCGTTGAAACTACCTTCACTATATGAAGCGGGGTTGGCAAAGGGGAGGACAGACACGGGGGCTCGCAAGAATCATCAACCAATCCTCCCCTTCGCCATGGAACCTGTTTTGATCGTCGGAGCAGGCATTGTCGGACTGACGCTTGGCCAGGCTCTGAAGAAGGCAAATACTCGACCTACGCAATACCACTTTCCTTTCCCTACTGCATACTAACCAGACATTCAGGAAAACATTCCTTTTCGCATCTACGAGCGGGACGCATCGCCCCATGCTCGTGGGCAAGGATGGGCCATCACCCTGCATTGGGCCCTGGGATACATCCAGCAGATCCTCCCCGAAGCCACATTACAAGCCATTCAAGCGGTGCAGGTGGACCCGCAAGTCGCCCAGCATGACGACGGGAACTTCCTCTTCATCGACCTCGCGACCGGCGCCCCCAAGTTCAAGATCCCCCCTAGCACCCGCTGGCGGGTCAACCGACAGAAGATGCGCGGTGCGTTGCTGCGCGGGATTGAAGAGCATGTGCAGTGGAATGCGCAAGTGGTCGACATCGAGACCCAAGGGACGGCTCCTCCAGCCCTGGTCCTCGCCGAGGGCACGCGTGTGTCCGGACGGTTTGTCATCGGGGTCGAAGGCAGTCGATCGCTCGTGCGCCGCGTCCTGCGACCAGACGCATACCTCAACTCCGTCCTCCCCATCCGGTTCACGGGGGTAGCTGTAGATCTGTCGCCGGAGGAGATCCGCCCCCTGCGGGCCATGGATCCGCTGCTCTTCCAGGGCTGCCACCCCAGCACAGGGGTGTTCTTCTGGTTCTCCGTGCTCGAAACCCCCCAGAGCAACGGCACGCAGGGCAACCCCGACGGCGAGCGCTATCGGGCGCAGATCTGCATGTCGTGGCCGCTAAACAGTGAGGCCGATGAAGTGGCGGCTAGCGATGCAGAGCGACTTGACAATATGAAACGACGGTCGGTGGGCTTCGTGCCATTTCTGCGGTCGGTCGTGGAGGGGATACCCTCTGAAACGCCGGTCTTGGAGATCAAACTGGCCGATTGGGAGTGTTTGAACTGGGATAACTGCGACGGCCGAATCACGCTGGCCGGGGATGCAGCCCATGCCATGACCATGTGTAAGTTTGTCGTTGAAAGCGATAAACCATAATTCTGACCAATACAGATCGCGGAGAAGCGGCCAACCACGGACTGTTAGACGCCTTCTACCTCTCCCAGGCGCTGCGACAGGTGTACAGGGAGGGACGGGGAGCAAAAGAGGCGTTGGATGAGTACGAGGAGGAGATGCGGTCTCGGACGAGACGTGCGGTGCGATTGAGTCGGCAAGCCTGTCACGATGCGCATACTTGGGACCGACTAGATGAGGACTCGGCTATTTTGACTAGGAGAGCTATTATCGGCGAGGCTTGACGTTGGGGCTGGGCTTAGGTAGATTCAATGTGCTGGAACCAGTGACGGTTGCTAGTCAGGCGTGATATTTGGCTTTCATGTCCAGGAAGTATCTTGAGTTAGCTGTTAATAGCATAGGAATCTACTGTATGATGTTGAACCCTAACTTAAGCTTAGTCGTTGTCGGGCGCAATTCATATTCACTGTTTGATGAACCCAGCGGAAGGAGAAAATGAGGAAGAACAACCCCCAGGAATCACAAAATATAAAATTTACAGTGGAAACAACCTGACGTGTTTGCTCATCAGGTAGAATAGCAGGAAACAGGAAAATATCCTACCAAGTTGGACAAGGCGTTTTCTTATCATCATCAATCAGTATCCAAGAACTCGGAGCGCACGTGACCCGGGTGGTCCGCGTGCTGTCTCCCCCGATCAAGGCCAATTAAGATCGTATAAAGCAAGGTAGGTGAAAGTAGAGAGAGTGGAGTCAGCGGCTTTAGGAGTTAAGGGCCACGGCCGCCACGGGTTGGATGTAATCGGGGACGAATGTTGCAATTCAGCTCCTGGCGAAAATGAAACATTTCACGGAGTTAAGATGGGTTGGCGCGGAGATAGCGGCGGTAAGCAAGTTTCCGACGGAATCTTTTTCTTGAAGGATGATCGGAGGGTCTTCAATCTTAGTACTAAGTTGAGTAAGACTTTCCCTAAGAGGAGTACGGAGGATATGAAGATATGTTTGGCCACTGGTGTATCCACTAGGTTGACGAGCGTAAGCGACCTGTGTTGCACGGAGCTGTACTGTACGTACATCCGAAAATGCATTCTTGCCCCCGACTTGCCGCTCATCGGAGCCGGGCTCTAAGGGTTCTGGAAATCACCTTGGATATCACCTCGGCAATCACCAGGCAAATCACTTCTTCTCCTACAACGTGATCTGTCGAAGGACACTCGGCGCATTTTCGCACGTGAACAGGTGGTTCTCTTCCTTTCATGAGATCTCTGGCGCTTGACTTCCTCACCATCGCCATACTCCATTCCAACGAATTTTTCCAGTCCGGTCATCCAGTCCCTCCAACATCATGCAGCCGCTTCGCATCAAGCTCTCCAACGGTGGGACTGTAACTGGCCTCCATTCAATCCCTCCAGCATCAGCATCGCATCTACGTTACCGTCCTCTGATCGTCGCCCTTCATGGTGGATGCTACGACAGCCAGTATTTCCAGGGCATTGCCCCATACTCTGCCCAAAGCCCCAGCGTGGCCTTGGGCGTACCATTCGTGGCAATCGACCGTCCATCGTACGGGGGCACAAGTTCAATTCTTCCGGTTCCAGAAGGAACCGACTTCTACCAGGAGACCGGCCGCTGGTTGCATCAATACATTCTGCCCCAGATTTGGTCCGACCTCGGAGCACCCAATGACTGCAACTGCATCATCTTGCTCAGTCACAGTCTGGGCGTCCCGGGAGCGATCATAGCGGCGACCCTCCACGCGCAGGACGATGCACCGCGGTATCCCCTGGGCGGCCTCATCGCCAGCGGCATGGGCAACATGCAGGTGCCGGCAATAAGGGCCAGCAGCCCGCTCCATGTAAAGATCGACGCAGATCACGTCCAGTTCCTTGAAGAGTACAAGGACGCGGTGATGTTCCGACCCGGAACTGCGGCGGCAGAGGTTCTGGGCCTGTGTGGGCGCCTGAACGCGATCTCGCCGCTCCCGGATGTTGCCGACTTCCCGACGACCTGGCTGCCAGTGTGGAAAGAGAGGTGGGCGTCCCAGGTTCTGGTTCCGGTCATGTTTGCGCTGGTGGAGGACGATCCCTTCTTCATCACAGATCAACAGGAATTCGACACGTGTGTGCGGGCCTTCAAGCGCAGTCCGCGTGTTGATGGGAGCCTGGTTCGAGGCGCCCCGCATTGTATGGAACTCAGCTACTGGTCCCAAGGATGGTATGCCCGGTGCTTTGGCTTTGCATTAGAGTGTGCGGCGAGTATAGTGACTAGACATGAACAAGATAGCACGGTATGATTTCAACTCTGAAGGTGGGCATGGGGATGTTAGCGAGAATCAAGGGAGGGGGACCAGTATGTGGTTGTATTGATTCCGAGAACTTGTGCCATTTACTCCACGCGGTGGCATACATCCTAGCTAGGTAACACGTGCGGTGAGACTGCTAGATGGTGTTGAAGCGTGTGATTGTGTAAAGCCCTCATCTATGATAGGAAGTACGGATTTGAGTTCTAGATACATTGCCTGCTGTCTCATGCTTTGTTCAGAAAGGCAGGAGGCAAGCTTGTCGACAACTGGCGGACTATCTATATTTCAGGTGGAGTCGCGATGCCTCCAACGCCGTCTATGTGGTAAGAGAATATTCACTGGGGGGCAGCACGACTGATCGTCAAGCATGGTCAGCGGTTTTAGTGCGCGAGTGTATCTCTCTGGTATCCAGAGCGAAAAAGGAAAGCAAGAAACTTGCCGGCCGTCGCAGTATGCATCTTCGGATCAACGATGTCGATCTGAATACAACCGATGTATCTGGTCGCACAGCGATCTCACATGCTGCTGAGCATGCATCCATTAAGGCTATGAGGCTCCTTCTATCGCAGGCTGACCCGGATATCAAGGATGATGAGGGGTGGACGCCATTGATGCAAGCCGCTGAGCGAGGGTCTGTGGCTTTGGTAGGTGAGCTACTTGTGACGGGGAAAGTCGATCCTTCTTGGAGCAGCTCGGATGGTTGGACTGCAAGGGCACATGCACTGCTTCATGGCCATGATGCGGTGGTAAGACTGTTGGATGAGCACCTTGCTACAGCCTAAGTGGCAAAGAGCTCAAGGTTTTCGAGAGAAGGCATGGAGAAGGCATGGCTAAGAGGATCGGGACTCGATGGATAGATTTCGCTGCTCGATACAATATGTCAGGGAAGCACAGCAACCCCCAGGATTAATGTAGCAGTATAGTCATCTATTCGAATTAGTATTCTGGTCATTGAAGATCTCTGGGAGAAACAAATTTCTCACAAACACAACTTGTTCGTGTTCACATCCCAGGGTACAGTGCAGAAGAGATATCCGGGGTCTAGTAAACACGAAGCTAATTATCTTTCGATAACTCTACGCATGTTTCTGGCATTCTCCTTCTTCTTCTTAGGGGTTTGATTTCGAAGGTTAGAACCTTATTTGAAGCGAGCAGCACGAAGACTGGCCTTGCAGCAACACCTCAACAGCAATGAAGCCATCACCGTTGCCACTTACTCCTACCCCCCGCCCCATTCATCCCCACGAACGCCTCAACCCTGACCCAAACCACCGACATCGTCGCAGCAAACAACAGCGCACTCACCAGCACCGACATATTCCGGAACGCCCCGGGGGTCTCACTTCTCCCACTCCGAATCAAGACCCCACCCACGGGCGTCCCGATCATCGTCGCCATCCCCCGCACCATATACAGCACCCCATTGACAGACGCAAAGTTCTGCGCCCCAAACAATTCGACCAGACTGGCCGGGAATAGCGAGACGTACGCACTGGCAAAAATGCCATACAGCACGGTGAACGTGATGAACAGATCCTTCGACTCGGTGGTCACCCCCGCGACCGTGGACGGGAGCCAGAAGGCGACGGTGGAAATCGCGCTCAGCAGGGTGGTCAGCAATAGGGCATTCAGCCGTCCCACACGATCAGCCAAATACCCGATGACCACCTTGCCGACGGCGTTGCAGGCATTACTCAGCGCGATGAAGTTGGCGCTGGCAGCGGTGCTGTACCCCAGCGTCTGGGCATACGAGGCATAGAAAAAGACAGGAGTGTAGTAGGCGGCGGCCTGGAACACTGCGCCCAGGGCCTGGGCGATGAAGCGACGGGAGCGCGCCACGCGCCAGTCGACGAGGGGCACTTTCAGCAGGCCATGGACGCGGCTGCGGCTGCTCCGAGCGGAGTTCTCGATCTCGATCTGCGTGCGCGTGCCGGGCTCCCAGGCCATGGCGCTGCTACTAGCCGAGATAAGCGTGAAGGAGACAGCCCCCGTCAGGCGTAGGGTGTTGCGGAAGCCGAGATGCTCGACGCAGGCGGTTAGGGCTGGCGCCCACACTAGCCCTCCCACCCCGGTGCCCGCCAGGATGATCCCCATCGCCAGTCCGCGACGCTGCGTGAACCAGCCGGGAGCGATCGTCACGGCCACCATGTAGCAGAGACAGGTCCCAATCCCGTTGAGGACTCCCTGCGCGAGTTCGAAGTGCCACAGCCGCTGCCCGAAACTTGCCAGCACGAGGGATAGAGCGAACACGAACCCGCCCACGAAGGCGACCCCGCGCGGTGGGAAGGCTTTGGCCCACGCCACGCTGAATGGGGCCCCGATGGTCATCAGCGAGCATGACACGGTCCCGATCAGGTCGATTTCGGCCGGCGAGGCCCCTGTGAAGGGGGTGTTGGGGTGATGGGACAGGTTCTCGTAGAGGGCTTGGTAGACGCCCCAGGCGAAATTGAGGCCGCAGCAGGTGAAGATGATGGTGAAGGAGGAGAGGACGATCATGATGAATTGTCTGGCTGGTGAGCTTTGGTTATTCGGAGCAGAGCAAATGTAGCTTACTTCTTGGATGTTTGAGGAGTAGTTGGATTTGGAGTCAGGGTTGGCGACCCCGCAGACCGTCTCCCAGTGCTTCTCGCGCTAGACACGGTGGATAACTCAATGTGGTCTGGCTCCACCAGAGCGTCTCTGGAAGCATGTTGCGGAGGCATTTTGAGGGCTCGTGAGGAAAGAACTTGTATTGCACTGCCTCTAAGCAATAGGATTCGTACGATGAATACCGTATATGAATATAATTGTTGAGCTCAGCTTTGAACCGCTTGAGCGGGGAGGGTTGATATGACTCAGACGGCTATTCCCGCGGGGGAAAACGGCGAGACACGGCTATGCTTGCATGCAGCTTACTCTTCGGGCTAGTAGAGCATCGAATTGTATACTCTCGTTTAGATCACCTGCATCTTACTCAACAAAGGAGCACCATGTCTATGCCAGCACTCCCACATTGTTCTGTGTTTGGATGGCAGCGGACGTGGCGTTTGGCCGGGTTACTGGCTGGCTGGCTGGGCAGTGTGATGCTAATATAGATTTCTAGCGTGTTGTGGGTGAGCACTCGGTATACTAGAGCGTTAGTAATATCAGATTCTATCTTGCTCCATCACATCGAAAGAATAAAGATGCACATTGACTGCTGAACTCGGAAATCAAATCCACCACCTCCAGACCTAGTCTAGAACCGTCTCCGGGCCGGGCTCGACGTCATCGGCAAAAACAGCCTCGGCCGTTCTGATTATCTTATCAGCGCCGATTGCCGAGCCGGACCCACCGCCAGGTTTTTTCTCCTGAAAATGGCCCCAACTCCCCTTGAGGCGCTGTCGATCATTCTTCCGGCTTCAAGCCCTTGCATTCACTCTGTCTGCTTTTTCTGCCTGTTTTGCCATTTTCTGTAGCGCTGCACATTCCTCGCGATGGAGGCCATTCGCTCATTCGCCAGCTGCCTCTGGGAGTCGGCCACCTTCTGGAAAACAACCGCCCTGGTCCTGGCCTTGCTGAACCTGAAGACGTTGCCCCTGGTGTGGCATGTGAGTGTCGCTTTTCGTTCCTGACAGCCTGTCAACCACCTGTCCCTCACTCACCTCCGTGCTCCGTAGATCCGCGTCTACCGCTACTTCTTCAAATATGGCTACCTGATCACCCCGGCCGTCGAACAGCCCGCCCGCCCGAGCACGGAGATCCTCGCCCCGCTCAGCATCTACTCGCGGGCGCCCGTGATGGAGATCGACTTCAACATGCACAAGTCCAACTCGACCTACTTCTCGGACCTGGACGTGTCGCGCACGGCGCTGATGTCCAGCATCGTGGTCAAGGGGGCCGCCCTGCTGGAGAAGCGGCTGGAGCAGCAGGGCAAGAAGGGGTTCCTGGGGTTCATTCTGGGCAGTGTGTACACCAACTTCAAGCGCGAGATCCCCGCCTACACCAAGTACGAGGTCAAGTCCCACATCGCCAGCTTCGACCAGAAGTGGATCTACATCGTGACCTATTTCCTGAAGCCCAGCACCAAGAAGACCGTCGAGGAGGATCCTGAGAAGCTGCTGAAGCGTCTCTATGCCGTCTCCATCAGCAAGTACGTGCTCAAGAAGGGCCGCTATACCGTCCCGCCCAAGGATGCGTTCGAGGCGGCCGGGTACACGCCGTTCTTTGCTGCTGCTGCGGCGGCGGCGGAGTCGGACACCAACGGCCATGCGACGGGCGCGCAAAACGGCCATGCCAATGGCGCGGCGGTGCAGCGCAAGGAGGGTCCGGCGGGAGACTCGGAGGAGTGGGAGCGGTTGAAGACGGAGATCGATCGCGGATTGACGGTCATTCAGCCGATCGTCGACCAAGAAGAGAAGCTGTTGGAGGATTATGTGCAGAAGATGAGCCGTTCTGGGTTCGCCTAGGGTTTACGGGGATAGAGTTGAAAGTCAGATTCGAACATGGGGTGCATATTAGCCAGCATATAGACTAGATTGTTGCTCAGCATATGATAGATTTAGATTAGATGGAATGTATGATTCTCGAACAGTAGAACCTGAAGTGCCAGTGCCAGTGCCAGTGCCAGTGCCAGTGCCTGGATACCTGGATGTCTGGGTGTCTGGGTGTCTGGTGCCTGAAATAGTAGGTATTGATAGATTGGTGCCTTGCGACCCGGAATTGCCGAGCTGCCTGTGGGTGCCTCTGGATGCCTGAATCGACAGGTATTTGACACCTTGTTGCTTGGCGGCCCACCAACGCCGAGTGATGCCTGGAGGGGCCTGGAGGGGCCTGGAGGTGCCTGGAGGTGCCTGTGGGTGCCTGGCAGGCGGAGACTCGGGCAATAAAAAGGGGTCAAGGCAGCGACCCACCGAACACCCCGTTCCTGCCTCAGGACTCCAATCCCGGCTTGGATAAAAACATGCAACGACCGACACGATGGCTATTGAGCAGTAAATCCTGACGACCACAACTCCATCACATGTATACTCGTGATTTACCAGCATTACAGCAGTCATGACCACTCCCCCTACACGAATTGAGCTCCCAGGCTACGGCCTCCCATTGAACCACCCAGTTCCGGTATTGTACCCCACCCAGCCCATGATCATATTTCACTCTCCAGCTAATAAACCCAGGTTAAATATTCCTTGAAAAGGGTAACGCTTCCCAATGCACTGGATAGCAAAGATATTTATGACGGCTACATCGGGTAGGCATCTACAACTAAGTACCGCTGCAGATGTGGGCGTCGCCGACTAACAGTCCGCTCAGCAATCTCCTCGTGCACCGCGAGATCCTCATGCTGCAAATTATGAACACCATCTCCGAGAAACCAGACTGGGACCGCAAGGTAAATCACCCAGCCACTCCGAGAGAAACGGAACCTAACAAGGGCTAGGTATTCGACGAGGAAATCACGACCAAGTGGCGCCAGGAGATCGCCGAGTCCGGGCAAGACGTCACCCCCAGTATGATCGACGCGATCATTGCCGAGATGCGGTGGAAAGCAACGGTCCTGCAGGAGGAGGGCACGTTCGCCGTCTTCGATCACGTAGGGGTCGTCCGGTCTGATACAGCTATCCCCAAGGACCTTCAGCAGGCACTGCGGGACGCCGCAGCGCCATTAGAAGACATCCCCGTGGATGCGAAAGACTACCATCCAGGCTCGAACAATAAGGTCCTCGACTTAGTGCATCCCTCGCTATTTCCGCTCATCTACGGCCGCACGCGCATCCTGCCGGACCGCACCATGACCGTCGCCAACTGCCTCGAGCACCTCGACCAAGGGGAGGTGCTGCCCGTGCCCACGGACGAGGAATCCAAAGGCCAGGGCCACGATGTGCACTGGCGCTGGCTGTCGTCGGGCTACAAGGTCTACAGCCAGAAATTCCAATGGCTTCCGTGCGACGTGGAGTTTTCTGACCACGAAGATTGCCGCATCGTCTCGTACATCAACAACCTCCACCCGCAGCGCCATCAGAGCCTGTACGCGGTCGTCGAGAACGTCATCGCCCGCGCCATCCCGCAGTGGAACAAAAGCTTGACCAGAACTCGGCAGGACGAGAATGCCCGCATCCTCTACGACCGGGTGGAGTACCTGGACCGCTCGACCCCGGAGCCAAAATGGGAGAGCGACAAGGAAGACGAGGAGGGCTATGAGGACGACTATCAACAGCGCTCGGATGCATGGTGGAAGGCGCGCCCCATCAAGCTCCCCGAGCCTCGACCCGCCTTCGTGCCTCCGAAGGTCTCCTACGAGGGGCCGATGAATCTGCGCGAGAAGTTCCGCGAGACCGGGCTGCAGGTGATCGTCAAGCTGGCCAACATCGAACTGACGCCCGAGAAGCCGACCTACGAAGGAGGGTCTTGGCACATTGAAGGGCAGCTGGTACGTCCCCCCGGCCTCACCTCAGTATCAAGTAATGCTAAAGCTCACTTCCATTGTGTAGAATGAACGCATCTGCGCCACAGCGATCTACTACTACGACAGCGCGAACATCACGGAAAGCCGCCTCGCCTTCCGCCACCGAGCCCAAACGATCTACGATATGGGCTACAAGCAGGGCCAGCACGAGTTCATCCACGCGGTGTACGGGTTCGGCTCGGACGTCGACGGCCACAACGACAGCGGGCACTTCACGCAGGACCTGGGCAGCGTGGTCTGCAACGAGGGTCGCCTGGTCACTTTCCCGAACACCGTGCAGCACCGCGTGGCCCCATTCGCGCTGGCGGACCGCACGAAGCCGGGACACCGCAAGATCCTGGCGCTGTTCCTGATCGACCCGCACCGTCGGGTGATCTCTACGGCTAATGTGCCGCCGCAGCAGGCGGAGTGGGCGGGTGACCAGGGGGCGTTGGCGCAGGGGTTGATGACCATGGAGGAGGCGAAGGCGTATCGGTTGGAGTTGATGGGGGAGCGGAGTGTGTTTCAGGATAAACAGAACGACGCGTTTGAGACGGGCTCGTTCTCGCTGTGTGAGCATTAGCGATGATTTTTGGTTGTAGTGTACATAATGAAATTATTCTGACAACTTGGGTGGACATGAAGCTGATAGGTTTCAGGCACAACTGTGCACCGTGCAGCACAGGTACTCATCACTTGTAGTCGGGTCTGAAGCCTTTCAATTGGCGTTAAGTATCACCTGAGATTCAAAACGAGTACTTGGAGTAATTAGAGTATCAAAATGACTAAGCATAACTTTCTATAAGTTACAGCAAAACAGCTACAGAACAGTCTCATAATGTGACAAAACAAATACCGCACACGCCAACCATAGCTGCAGCCTCCCACCTCTCACTCGACACGCTATATCAAACCGGCGCCTCCATCGGATTGAACTCTACCTCGACCCCCACCTCCGACTCCTCACCACTCTCCACATCCTCCATCTCCACCTCAAGACTTGCACCTGCAACCACCCCCGCAATCCCCAAAATCTCCTCCACGCGGCGATGCGGAAACGCCACCCCCAGATTCCACGGGAAAACAAAATGCACCCAGCGATGCATGCGGCAGACGAACGTGAACAACGCCCCGGTCAACGCCCGATACTCCTCTTTGCAGGCCACCGCCCCAATCCCCCGCAGATACACCTCTCCAATGACCCCCATCTCGTCCAGCCCGAGATCCACCAGCATCTCGAAAGTATTGAAATTAGCCGACAAAAACTCGCGGGTCATGCGCTGCAGCACGCCCAGGGGGATGTCGGGGTACCGCGAGATTTTGAGCAGGCGGTAGAGCACGTCGCAGCCCAGGTGCAGGAGGAAGGATTTGAGGTGCACGAGGACAGAGAAGCACTGGTTGCCGGTGCCGGCCCCGCTGGGGATGAGGCCCCATGTTATTTTCTGGATGCTGACGGGGAGGTGGAGCCAGATGGTGTTTGTTTGGGCTGTTATGGTGGTGTGGGCCGAGTGCCATGTCTGGAACTCGGAGGTGGTCGGAAGGGGCTTGTCGAGTGAGCGGGAGTATTTATGCTCATGGTGGTGGTGGTGGTGGTGGTGGTGGTGGTTTTCGGCAGTGAGCTTGAGGTTGTACCTGCTCGGGGTGGGAGTATGGAGGGCAATATGGATGGTGAGCAGGGTGTGTCGCGCGCTGGTGACGGTCTTCTCATACACCAAACGGCCCAGCTGGCTGAGGGTGTGCCGGTCTGCCTCCTCGACGTCGGCCACTTTGTTCACTGGCGCGCTCTCGGTGACACGGCCGTAGGTCAGGCACAACGAGCCCCCGACAGCGTTGAGATAGACGGCCCCCGGGTGTCTCTGGATCATGTGGTCCCGGCCCAGATGCACGATGCGCGTCGGCAGCCAGAAGGCTTCGCCGGAGATCACGACGTGGCCCAGAGTGCTCTGCAGGGGCAGTTGGGTGATCAATTGCGAGGCCACGTCCGGGTTCTCTTCGGTGAGGAGCTTCGCGCGGAAGGAAAGTCCCGCCTCTGGGCAGTGGAAGTATAGAAACTGGGGAGTAGACATGGTGATTTGTTCGAGGAGCGCGTTTGGAGAGCTATAGGACATGAGCTGCGGAGTAGGGCTTCGATATGAGAACTGACCAGTCCTGCATCCCTCACGGCCATTGGCTCTATATAACTACACCTTGAGTTCCAGTCAGCCCTGAAGGAATAGAGTTATGTGTCCTCCTTTCCACTGGCTATTTTACAAAGGGGGTCAAGGTGATGCTAATTTGCCCGTGTGCTGTACGGTTCATACTACACACTGCTGCCAGTTGATCGGTCTAGGCCTTTACCAAGAGCCCTAATTCGATGTCTTGGATTCCTGCACCCTTAGGGCACGGACCTTGACGCAGTCTTTCCGCCCCGTTGAAGAGTCTAAGGTGATCAGAGTGTCTTCACGGATATTTCCTCAGGCTTGGTTATCGCCAGCTGCGACAAATGAGGCTTCGAGTGTACGACCGGTGGTCAATTCCTCCGTCGGAGATTGCCGAGTCCAGGATGGTCTGATGCTGACGCTCGAATATTTTATGCTTGCTATTGTCTTACTCCGAGTGTGCTACACATAACCTTGAAACGAAGGGTGTAGTGCAAGACTGCATTGGAGGGAGGTGTGAAGGATGAAGAGCAGACAGCAGACCTCGCCTAATACCACATGCCAAGTCCGCCAATGACTGCCGGATTATTCAATCGATGCGATTCTGGGCAGATTGACATTGTTGATCACGCAGGATGACCGTTTTTCCGCCGATCAGATCCCTTCGTCCTTGCTTATTCGTGAAGGATTGTGACGGGGCGGTATACAGCACGATACGGTGGCTGCAGAGGCCGGCCTGGGGTCCGACCACTGAGGGTACTATCCTCTGTAGTGGTAGCATGCAGATGGATTCGATTTCTGGGAGCTTTCAATATTGATGGTCATTGACAACTCAGGGGCATTTGAGACACGGGCTGAAACAAGCTTCAATGGTGCCTAGGTTCTTAGTCAGGATTTGTCGGGGGTTGTGGTCTGTCTGTCGATAAGTAGAGAAAGGCCGATCGTCATCGACAGCAGGGGTCGGACTGATTCAGGAGTAGGACGATTGAAGGTCGTAGAGGGAGATGTGTTCGCTTGGATCTTTGTGATGTTGCGGGTGTGGGAATAGTAGCATGTCAACGGGGACTGAAAATAGGGGGTTGCGGGTAAAGTTGGGAATTGCGGATGTTACGAAGTTGATCCGACAATGTGCAATGAATAACAGCAAAAACACACCAGCCAAAACACATGTCCCCAGGGAGGATCGAACTCCCGGCCTTGGGATGTCCTGGAAGTGCGACTTCCAAGTCATATTTGCATATGAGACCCACGTGATAACCACTACACCATGGAGACTGCTTGTTGTTGTGGGCGAAAATGTTGCCGTCATAAGCAAGTTTGAAGAGGAGGCACGATTCCTCCCGATCATCCAACAATCCCGACCCATCTCAGCCAAGTATACACTCAGGACCACAACACGCCACCGTCTCACTACTTTTGAGTCGCGTATCCGGAAAGCGAGTCATATACTTCAATATGTCTGCAATGTTGCCTCGTCTATAGAAGACGAGGCACGCACAGATCTTCAGCGATGTAAACGAGAGATATATAAGTTCCCCCCGCAACCGCCGTGACCCAACTGTAACCCAGCCCTAATATATCCCGATTTCCCTTCCCCATTTCCCTAGTATGGCCTCCCAACCACCCCGCGTGCAGCGCCTCCGATCCCAAATGACAGCCCACCACCTCGACGCCATCATCTGCACGCAACCCACCTCCACCTTCTACCTGTCCGGCTTCAACCCAATCATCTACTCCGACCCCGTCCTCGTCATCATCTCGCAGCAATCCGCCCCAATCCTCCTGGTGCACGCCCTCCGCAGCTCGCACGCCAAGTCCAGCGCTTGGACGCCCAACATCGGCCTGTACGGAACCTGGGGACAAACTCCGACCCTGGCGCCAACCTGGCCCGCGGCCCTGATCACCCTCCTGGACCGCTGTGACTTACCCGAGCACCCGACCATCGGCATCGAGCACGACTGCCTCCCAATGACCCAATACACCCTGCTCCACCACACCCTCCCGACCACAAAACTCGCCAACTGCACCCCCCTCCTCCACGCCTGCAGGGCCCTCAAAGACCCCGACGAGATCGCCCACACGCGCGTTGCAGCCACCCTCGCCGACAAAGGCATGAAAGCCGCCGTCGCAGCCCTAGCGCAGCCCTCCATAACCGAACGGGACGCCGTCCTCGCCGCACTGCAGACCATGCACACACACTGGGCAGCACATTACCCCGATGTCGAGATCTGTGACTTCGGGTCCCCGGAGGGCGGGGTCAACAGCGGGTTGACGGCGTGGGTGCTCTCGGGTCCGCGACAGTCGTTCGGATGCGATAATCCGACGCCCCGGATCCCGGTGCCCGGGGAGAGTGTCTCCGTGTTTGTGTGGACGGTGGCCAACGGCATGCACGCGGAGCTGGAGCGGACGGTTTGGATCGGGGATGTGGATCTGGCGCAACAGCTGGCGATGCAGGCTGCTTCGGAGATCCGAATGGAGGTTCTGCAGCGCGTCAACCCCGGCACGGCGGTCCGGGAGTTGTACCGCACTGCTAAACGCGGGTATGAGCGGCGAGGGTACGGGGCGTATCTCCCGCGGCGGATTGGGCATTCCGTGGGGCTGGGCCCGCATGAGCTGTTTTTTCTCGAGGAGACGGAGGAGCGGATGTTGCAGGCGGGGATGGTGCTTGCGCTGGAGGTGAATCTTCTTGTCCCTGGGTTGGGGGGCGCGGGTGTCCAGTGGTCGGATACGTTTCTGGTTACGGGGGATGGGTGGGAGCGGTTGACGCGGTTTGCGGAGGGGGTGGTTCGGGTGAGGACGGATGATTGAGATATGACCGTGTTGATGCAGTCGGTGCAGTGTGTCGAAGGTAGGTAGGTTACATATGGAAGTGCAAAAAGTTGTATGAATGAGAGTCACGAAGGGTAGTATATACATCGACAGTGAATCCCACCAACAGACACCAACCCCCTCCCCTGAGCCCCTACCCCCATTGACTACTATACCCCACCCCCCCTTGAGCAGGCTACTTTCCCGACTCCACAAAAACACTATGCCCCGTAAACCCACTATGCTGTGTGCCCCACGGGTCAAACAAGGTGTCATCGGTCGAGAACCCCTCCTCGGGCGGGGGATTCAGCTCGCGCTTGCGCATCTCGGGACTGGGCTGGCGCCATCGCCGCCTGCCGCTGGCCCCGAGGTGGAACAAGGGCCGCAGATGCGAGAGACAGGCGGCGATGATCCCCACCGCGGCCTCCGTGCACGTCCACACCGCCACGGGGGCTTGGTTGTCTGCTCGCATTTAGACAGGTTAGCCACCACACCATAACCTCTCACTCATGTATACGAGTCACCTACAGGTGATATCCGGTCCAATCTTGGTGATATGGATCATCGCGACCAAGCGCACGATATCGAAGACTAGCGTTCTGCACCAGAACCGTTTAGCAATGGCGAATACCTGAAGGGGATAGATGGAGGACGTACAAGATCCCCACCAAGAACACTCCCGACAGCAACGAACGCTGCGTCTTGGAGATCGGCAGCGCCCAGACACTCTTCAGCGGCATTACCAGCAGCACCACGTCCGTGGCGATGTTGGGGATCTGCTGGCCGTAGTAGAAGGTTGCCGGGTCGATGCAGCGGCCGGGGATCTCGCGGTGCCAGAACTTGGCCACGGGGACGCAGGACAGCACTCCCGCGATGCTGACGCCCACCACCCAGAGAATGACAGCGGCGGCCACTAGAATCACGGCCAGGGACATGCCGCGCGCGGCGAAGAGGCGTTTGTACGAGGCCAGGATGGAGAGTTTGATGAACGCGATGCACAGCGGGTAGACAAAACCGTTGGACCAGCCGATCTGTCTGGGTCAGATCGAGGTGGGGGAGAGGCAAAATGAGGGGGGGGGAGGGGCTGACCTGGAAGTAGACGTCCAGGTTCTTCTGCGGGATCATGGTGATGTGGGATCCCAGACCATTCCAGAGGACTGCTTGCCACGAGAAGGGTTAGAGTAAGCGATCGGCTGGGCAGGGTAGACCTACGGATGACGACTCCGATTGAACAGCCATATTTGAAGATCTAGACCACAGGTTAATTGGATGTTTGGTTGGAGAGATGAGAGGCGAATACATACCAGCGCAACGATAATCAGATAGTCGTCCAGGTACAGGCGCGTGCCGTTGACTCTACGCGCCACCAAGCGCAGCAGCACCGCAATGGTCGAGAGAGCGAAGGCAAACGGCAAGGCAATGATGACCGATCGTCGGAGCTGCTGGTTAGGATGGTCGAAATCACCCTCCGTGGGTTCGGATGACATGGTGAGAGGCGATGCGATACAGATCGTATCGGCGATGGCGGCTGCAGGTGATGAGCTGCAGACGCGATGGGTGGCGGACGAGATTTGGAATCATGGCCATGGTCGCAGCGGACGGGCGACCTGATGAATATTTCTGCAGAGGCTGTTTTGAGGAGACGACCAGGGAGTGGGGGATAGGGGCTTGCGATGTATCGCGATCGACAGGGACATGACGAGAGAGGGGGAGGGAGGTCGCGGGTGATAGATCATATCCGTGGTGGTGTCAAGAATAACTGGGTGGGAGTGCAGGATAAACGTCGGATTAAGGTTGCGTATAGCCGCAATGGGATAATGGGTTGAGCAACCTGAGAATCAGGCGCAATGTAGGGATGACCCTTGCCTCGTCGGCTGTCGGACTCGGTACAAGGTGCTGGGTTGAGTCGCGTGGCCGAAGGGAATGGACCTGTCAGATTCGCTTAGAGGTTACATGCAACCCCTCACTTGGAGAAGAGTGGAGCGGGCTCTAGGGTAGTCGGTTTGATGCCGTCTTTTAGTTGAGTCTACAGAGTACAGAGTAGCTGACCGTACGTGTAAGTTCCTCTCTAGATGATTCGTTTGTACAGTCTCTATCCTGGCCGAGCAGGGCAGGATCCATACACGTGACTCGACTGTGTACTGCATAGCTTATATAATCAGATTTTTCTGGGAAATCCCTCCGTATTCTTTCACAAGTCCGGTCAGCACACCTGCAGCAGACCACCAATCTCAAGACGTACCGCTGTTGAACCGTACAATATACAAAGCACAGGTAGCGCCCCGTACCTCAGGTTAGGTAGTTACTCCGTGTACGCAGTACCGGCCATGTGATGGATGCATGCATCGCAGCCGAGGGAGACGCCCGCCGCTTGGCAACTGGACACATAAACTGGCCAAGTGGACACATACAGTCTACCCAGGAACTTACCGAGTCCAGTAACTAAAAGGTTCTCCGCTCCTCGCTTTCTCTTTCTCTTTTCTCCCCCTTCCCTATGCTTAACTCTCACTTCCCCCCCCACATTCATTCCAACCACAATCCGCCTTGTGGGGAAATTCCCAACGTTGATCTCTAGCGGGTCATATTACCCGACCAATCTGCGCTCGATCGAGATCTAGATTCTTCGCGATAGATCCCATTCACCGGCATAGTAGATCCATCATGACCGACGTCACCATCACCGAGGGGACCTTTCGTCTGCCGGATGGAGTGGAGGTCTACCAAAAGACCTGGTCGGTGAGTTGAATGCCCCTGCTACTCTGTATTTACGGACCCATCTCTACTGCAGTATATATACCAGTGTATATCTGTAGTGACATGCAGAACAGCTTACTCATCCACACATCAACGCAGCCCACCACCCCTCCCCTCGCCAAACTCGTCCATTTCCATGGCTTCAGCGACCACATCAACAACTACTTCGACCTCTTCCCCGCCCTGGCGCGCCACGGCATTCTCTGCGCGGGGATCGACCAACGGGGCTGGGGCCGATCGGTGCACCGCAAAGCCGACCGCGGCAACACGGGGCCGACACCGGCCATCCTAGCCGACATGGCCGCCTTCATCACAGCCCAGCAGCAGCAGGTCGCCCCGACCGACATCCCCGTCTTCATCAGCGGCCATTCCATGGGGGGTGGTCTCGTGGCGACCCTCGCCTCCACCCCACAATACCAACCGCTGGTGGCCTCGCTGCGGGGAATCATGCTCGAGGCGCCGTACATCGGCCTGACGCCGGAGCAGACGCCCAGCTCCCTCCTCGTCTTCACCGGCCGGCTGGCCGGCCGTCTACTCCCCCACTTCCAGCTCACGCAGAAGATGGCGATCGAGAATCTGGTGCGCGACCCGGCCGTGCAGGCGCAGGTGAAGAACGACCCACTCAACCACCTGACCGGCACGCTGGAGATGTTCGCCAACATGCTCGACCGCGCCGCCGCCCTCACCGCGGGCAAGCTGGTGCTATCCCCGGGGGTGCAGTCGGTGCTGGTCGTTCACGGCACGGGCGATCAATGCACCAGCCACGACCTCAGCAAGCGCTGGTTCGACCAGCAGACGGCGCGGGTGCCGGCCACCCAGAAGAAGTTTGTGTCCTACGACGGCTGGAGCCATATCCTGCATGCGGATCTGCCGGAGAACCGGCAGCGGTATGCGGATGATCTGGCGGGTTGGGTGCGGGAGCGCGCCCAGGAGAAGTCGGTGCGACTGTAGGGGACCGGGAGAGAGAACTGCGGACTGTACTACGTGTAGAGAGCGATTTGGCGAATAATAATAATCATACTTACTAGGCACCAGGACGGCACAGCTGCATGCGGGAGGGACACTATGGTGGAGGCCGACTACACCCATCGCCTATCACAGTCTCCGTATCGCTTCCTGCTAGACTACTGGCTCTATACACCCGTCTCATTCCCACCCTATGTGCATTCTACTCCCTGGGCTGAGATCTCTACCCCATACTCGTCTCCAAGCACCGCACCCGGCCAATCTGATCCAGCCACGTGTCCTTACTCCGACCCCAAATCGCCAGGCCCACCTCCCCGCAGCGCAGGCGACTGACCTCGTCCAACGTCCCCGTCTTGAGGATGATGATCTCGTCGTTGTCGCCCGGCTGCGAGGTGAAGGGGGTACCGCAGTCCGCGCAGAATTGCCGGCGCACGGGGGGGCCGCGGTCGCTGTGGCCGAGATACAGCTTGGGGGTGCCGGTGGTGAAGACCAAGGCGGCCGCCGGGACGACGAGGTTGGAGGAGAAGGCGGAGCCGGTGTAGCGCTTGCAGCTGGTGCAGTGGCAGAGGATGATCTAGAAGGTTGAGGGAAGAAGGATTAGAGAGGGAGACTCATGGAGTGGAAGCTGGGGGGAAGTAACTGGAGTCATTGGACACTACTACCGTACCTTGGGGACGGGTTCGGTGGGGGGAAGATCCACGCGATAGGTGATCTTTTGGCATAAGCAGCCCCCGGTGAGTGGGGTAGTGGTAGCCATAGTTTCAAAGAGTGAGAAAGGGGCAGATGATGATGGTGATGATGATGATGATGATGATGATGATGATGATGGTGTGGTGGCCCAACTGACAAGTGCCGACCGGGGGAGGTTCAGCTTACTAGGTAGTACTAGGCAGTTACCGCCCGAGCCGGACTTAGTCACCCGTCACCCGTCACCCGTCACCCGATTGATACTACTGTGGCATATCTTAGCTTATAGCTTAACTATACACAAGACACGAGGGTCAGAGTATAAGATCCGGGTGTCGTCCTGTTGCTCGATGAAAACTTAGTTCTCATTTCTCGCGCTGCTCAGGTCCGTACAGGTATGAAAGGAGCCCGTGGCTGAGCTCGGAGCCTGTGGCTCGGTTATTCCTGCTGACTCAGCGGCGGCGCAGCGCTCCAATGTCCCTTTCGCTCGCTCGCGGCCAAAAATAGTCAAGCAGAATTCGAGATCTACTGTATTCTAGATATAAAATATAGGTGGAAGTATCAAACACTTTCTATTACTTCTTCAAAACAGAACAATTTTGCAACGATCAAATCTAAATACAGATTTCAAAAGCTTGGATTTTAACCTGTTTTTTAATTTAAACCCATTCTACTTAATATATATGTATGAGTATTCTATATCTACAACTACACGATGTTCAGAGGTCAAAGCAGCTTGTGCTTATTGCAAGAAATCCAGCACCACAAATCCGCAAGTGCCGCTTCATCGCTTGCCTTCCAGGCAGGGGGGTTGTCAAGGGTATTCCTGATTGGGTGGCGAGAGATCCTTGTGGTACTTCTTGACGCGAACAACCATCTAGCTCCAGAGAATCAGCCTTAGAGAAGTACAGATACAACAGTTACACTATCTAAGAGATTGCATTCCACAGACAGCCACGTCCGGTTGACGGCCTACCAAAAACGTTGTTCTTCCTGGCTGCTGAGGCGAACTGCCAGGGAGTGGCACTTGCCACAACATTAATGTGACGGAAAGCCCTTGATCCAATATTCCCTGCAGCTACAAGGATACACTCAATTGTGGTCGCATTCCTCACCTGCTTTTCGGTGCATACATATAGCATATTTTACGCACCGCATCCCGTGCGTCTTTCCAAGCGACTAACAGTCACCATCCCTGGCTCTTTGAGTAGAACATCTAGAACATTCTTGTGTTGTGCCCTCTCTTATTACGATAGTTCAAGGTACACAACGATTTAGTTCATTATATCCCAAGCCGTACCTCTCCAGAAAGCAGCTGTTTATAGTATACACGTCACTATCGCTGGATTGCTGAAGCAGTCCTGGATAAGACCGGAGTAATTGCTGTAAGGCCTTTGGTGAACCTGCCGAGCCTGTCTCAGAGGCCTCGGTATTGGGCGCTTCAGCAGCGTGCTGTTCCTTGCTAAGATACTTGTCCTCTGTTTTGACCGCACCTTTTGTGGTATGTTTACTCATCGTTCTTGGACCAGTCATGCCTGTAACGTTATCAGACACCCGTACATACCTGCATGAAAAATGTGGGGCAGCTACGTGGGTACCGTCACAGGTGAGTTTCGCCCAGTTAGTCACTGCAAAGCTGCCCAACGCAAGTGGCGCACACACCGCTGGTCCAGCCCATGGGGAATTCTCTTGCATAAACGTTCCAGAGTCGCCAGGATGATAACGAACTTGAGCCTAATAACTAGGGAGTCGTCTCTTTCACAAGGCTTCGAGCTTTTCATATCTTTGCATGTGGTCGAAGCTTCTCTCCGGGCTCAATTTGTGTTTGTCCTCACAATGGCATCTGTATCTATCGGCCAGGCTGAGGACGGACACTACCCAGCCTGGCCACAGAATGAAGTTACGGATTTATTGTCCGGACTGATGGGCTTCTCGTCAACCTATATTGGAACTGATTTGTCCTTTTTCCCACTCGAGGGCTATTGCGATCCAATCGTGCTAGGGGATAGACAAGGAGAACTCCTGGCTCCTCCTTCTACGATGATGACCGATGCTGTGATCGGCAACAGCAGAGAACCTTCGTGGCCGGAGCAATACCCTAACCTCGTCGCACCGCACAACCTACTCTCGATGGAAGGCTCCGCTGGAAGCCAGTTACAATCTGTTAATCCCATGGAAATTCCGACTTTGACCACGGTGGGATTGGACTCACAGGTACTGCCTCTTCCAAACCAGTCTCTATAGAGATCGGGCTTGGATGGATGCCTGGGTGATGAAGGTCACAAGAGTACCACTCCAGCTGTGGTTGTTGAAGGACGGGCCGATTCAGGGATATGCGCTTCGAGATTCAAGGAAGCGCCGATGCCTTCTTACGATCACAAGATTTCCATAGTTGATGGGCTATATCATTGCCAACATCGTGCATGTGTGGCCAAGACTGGCTTCTCAAAGAAGCGTGATCTGCAGTAAGCGACACTACCACTTTCTCAATTCATCCCACTGACTCTTCACAGAAAGCATATGCGCATTCATGTTAAGCCAGTCAAATGTCCCATATGTACAGTTACCACGGCTCAGCCGGTTCATATGCGTCGACATATTGAAGTGTATCACAGTGGCTGGGCTCGGCAGAGGTGGCCAGTGGGCGCTGTGTGTAAGTTGTGCGGTAAACCATTCACACGAAAAGACAATCTTCGCAGACACTACCAAAATCAGCATAAAGATTTTAGTAGTCTCTCTGTGTCTGATTGAGCAATTTTGTATGTCGGGCCTATGTTCTGTCGAGTTGTTGAAGGGTTTTTGAATAGTACCTTGTACCCTTCAGAATTGTACGTCTGGTGGAAGTAGAAGTACCCCCGCCTCCTGCTCGTTACCAAGACTCCAACGAAGATCTACGTTTACGTGTTTCAATGAGAGAAAAAAGCAAAAAAAAGAAAAAGGTATTAAGTACCAAAGAGTCAGAAAGGGAAAACCAAATTAAGTTGCAAGCCAAAATCCATCATCACCTTATATTTTGAGAGATACCCCGCCACAGTCTGCATCAGAGTCTTCATCCGACACATATGTCTCGAGCTCCTTTGTCCCCAAAACCTTCGCTGTGCTACTTTCAGTTGCCTCAGTTTCCAAGCTACCGTCAGCAATCGAATATCGGAATGTATCTCCTCGAAGCTCCTCCGAATCCACGCGAGACCACCGGTCATTTGAAATTGCTGTCTGGGAATCAGGATGCCAGGGACTTGATGACGAGGGGCCAAGGATATCAGCAATAACAGCCCGGCGAATCTCACTTGTCATCTCATTGAGGACCTTCACCTGCAGATCGTATTCTGGATCCCCCTTGGTGGGATTGTTGACTAATTGCGGGCTCCAATTAACCCAGACTTTGCGGTGGCAATCAGGGACGACCATTCGAGCCGGATGGTGCCTAAAGTATAGTTCACAGCACAGACAGGCTGGTTTGCTACAAGCAATGTAACGGTCATTCCCCTCGAAAGACAAGTCCAACCTGAAGAAATGGTTCAAAGCCTGCACTTCTGCATGCACCTGCGGCGTGCACTTGTCATACTGTTCCATGAAACCCTCAAAGGTACGAGATTGAGATTGAGAATTCATGCAAAGCAAAGAATTCTTTACCTGAGGCCTTTCCGGGTCGTCCTTCTTCAACATCCTGTTGAGGATACCATCAAGCGTGGTTAGATTATCGGGCGCTGGCCGAGGCACCGAAGGCACACAAGGAATAGCCACCACCTGATGCGAGTCAAGGATCTGAGACAAATGGTAGGCATCCCCAACCAGCTGCGAGGGTGCCCGGACGTGATCTGCCAGTCGCCCTAGATAATGGATAACTAACGCAAAAGGCGACCGTCGGTCTCGAAGGCCCATTAGCCTTTCTTCGTCTTGAGCTTTCAGTCCGATTATCCTGGTGATTGCAGACTTTCTGTAAGTATATGCATATTGGCAGAGTGCCAGACAATCATCCTGTTCGAGGATAGGCTCAAGCCAGTCTTTTATCAACTGATCTACTGAGCCAGTTAGCATTGTAAGAACCTGGAATTTGGCCTTTACGAACCCTGTTCCGTTCTCACAGAACCGCGTATGGGATAACACTGTTTGATCGCTTGAAACAAGCATTGACGCTCTTTCTTTACTCGGCGGATCGCGAAGTTAAGGCAGAAACTGATAAAGTTTGCCCTAGATTGTTCTTCATCAAAGCCTCCATCAATTCTCGTAAATCGCTCCAAGTGGCTGAGAGCATTCTTCGCGAATTCGACGATTTTGTCAACAGATGCGTTGGATGAAATCCAGAATCTGTAACATGTTTCGCTGTCTTCAAGTCCAATGGCAGTGCAAGAAACACCTCCTTTGGTAAAGTCACAAACAAAGGCGAGGTTACGTAGGAACTTTCGTCGCCGTGCTTGCTCCAAACTAGGATTCGATGAGCCGACTGTGTGCTGCCCACGGGTCTGTCCTAGTACACGCAAAAGAAACAAAGGCTCGTAAAATCTATCAAGGAGTCTCTTATACGCGTTCAGTCTTGGGGGCCCGACGCGGACTGAGTCGATAGGTAATTGTTTGTAGGTGATATTGTTCTGGACTATGAATAAATGCTTTGCAGATGACATTTTGAATAGCTTATAGAAAAGTGCACAAAATATCAACCACATTCGGAGTGTGAGCTCATTAAAAAGAAAGAGAGCAATTTACCAGTACTTAGGCCACCCATCAAGTTTTGTGCCGGATACATACTTTCAGAAAGTCAGCCACGGGGTGGGGGAATGAAGGCAGGGTGTAGAAGGGAGATAGGAGGAAGACAATGCAGGAGGAAGACAATGCAGGAGGAAGACAATGCAGGAGGAAGACAATGCAGGAGGAAGACACTGCAGGAGGAAGACAATGCAGGAAGACAATGCAGGAAGACAATGCAGGAAGATAATGCGGGAGGAAGACAATGCAGAAAGACAATGCGGGAGGAAGACAGTGCGGGAGGATGACAGTGCGGGAGGAAGACAGTGCAGGAGGAAGACAGTGCAGGAGGAAGACAATGCGGAACTTCTAAGCACACTTGTTGTACTGAGATTGGGTAGCCAAGACTTTTCGCCGCCTCCGTAAAATGAGGGAGGTAATCTACGTGAGCATAAGTGAAGATACCAAAGCCTTTACTTGCAAAGCATGCGACTTTGGTCGGTAGACTGTGTGGGATGCAGTCGTCTCTCGTTCAAAGCAAGGGCAGATCAACGGCACGCTTAGACAAGTGGGACAAATCAGGGCACGCCTCGAATTCTCCAAATGATACGAGGCGGCCAGCCACTGCACATTGGAAACGCTAAAATGACTCCTATGTCCGTATAGTCTTCTGGGATGGATAAAAGGCACTGGGCTGGGCTGCACATTCGGTTGACGGCACTCATCCAAACAGCCTTTAACTTGCAAACGTTTGTCTTGAATTGTTCTTCGATACTGAACGCAGTGGAAAATGTCTAGTTTGCCTGCTGCATCCCGTCTATCAACCACGGAATCTATATATCTACTTCATCACGTTTTCCTGCCCCCAAAACTGCCACAGGAAGATGATTTTAACGCTTTACATGAAACTGTCCTGCTTGATAGCGTTATTGACGCCCTTGCTCAGTTTCATGATTATTGTCCTGGGCAGGAAAGTGAAGTTGTTGTCAGTGTCAAAGTGATGCTCACTCGTTTGAGAGCGATGCGCGATTGTCATGGGGACGTGAATCATGTTGAGCTTAGAAAAGCTCTAGAAGAACTAGAAAATTCAGGTATGGCCAGATGTAACCTAGCTGACGCCCGGAGTTTTAATGACAGACACGTGTCGTATAGGAGGTGCTCTACCTGTGCATGTCCGCTGCCAGAATGCTGCGGTCTTAATGACTAGGCACAGCGATTCAATACATGTCGAGACATTTGAACTGTGGCCTCGGAATGAAGCCGTTAACACCACGGTGGGTCGACTGCAACGCCAATTCCCTGGGCCAACCTTTGCTTTGGATCGAGCCGTCTTCAATGAACCAGATATGCAAAACACAATTGCGCACGCCCTTGAGAGCATGAGTCGTCAGCCTGCCCCGGGGACCAAGCCCAAAGTGAAGAAGGCGCGGCAGGAACACGACGAGAATCGGGATACAACCAATCCAATGATGGTTACAGAGTTGTTCACAACATTCCTGCGCCCACAATGCAGAACTGTGGACAGTCTGCAGGTTCGTAAAAACACACGGGAAGAAGTCCTGTGGCTCGACACTCTGCATCCTTGGAGACGTTCCGCCCTCTGGCTCCAGGTTCGAGTTACGATCCAAGTGTTGTTTCGGAGGCTCTGCCAGCGCGAAGGAATTTCAGTTGACCTCTACAAAGTATTCATGATTTTTTGCATGAGTTCCATTCTCCGCCGCTGTCCCAAGAGCATAAGCAGTGAACACCGGTATATCATGAGTTCCAAAATTGTGCGCCGGTTACGCAAGCTTGATCTGCCGGATAATCACGGTTGGCTCCTGTTTGTCCAGGATTCCCTTCAAGAAGCGAATGGCGTCCTCGAACGAAACTGGAGTTGCATCGTCGCCAGTAACGCCTGCCAACCTGATATGTCCCCCTTGGCTCGACTCAACTTTAAAGATGACACTGATTGCTCACTGCCCAGTCTTGAGGAGTGGCTTCAGAGTATCAGAACCCGCCAACACTCCTTAGTGACGCCAGATCCCCACCCACAGTCTGGATTCTTGGAGTTTGAGCCTGCAGAGCTCCCATCGCTCCTCCGATTGACTGACCCCGACTATCACGTCTACAATCTCGCTGCTTTCGAAGCGTGGGTTGACTTGAATCTTCAATCCTGGACTGAGACACATATCGGCTATGAAGACACCTGCGAACGGCTAAGCAGATTAGTCAATGCCTATTATGATATTGCATCCAGATCTTACGCTTCCAACCCTGAGGCATTGTCAACCATGCTTCTCACCATCCTGGAGCTCTGGATAGCTTGTGACAAATCCGCCGTCCATCTTCATCCGCTGCTTCGCCAGTATAATCCGTGTATTCCGATACATCTGTTCCAGTCTCTCCTCTTACCTCGGCTGTCCCAGCTTACCCGGTTGGCACATGCGGAACTTTACATGTGCCAACGTCACCAAGGCCTCCAGTACCCAGATTCCAATATTCTAACTGACTTTGGAACCTCTTCCTCCTTTTCTGTGCGCTACTTCAATGACTCCGCTGAGCACCAACGTCTACTTGATACTATTGAACAAAAAGCTGGATCTGAGAAGGCCGCCAAAGTGGTGGAGTTGCACCGAAAGCATCAGCAGTACAGGGACTTTTGTGCTCGGCGGGATGAGATTTCTTGCACGTACTATGATGAGAAACTCGACAAGCGGTTCCACTTTACAGAGCGTCGTCATAACCCCTCCTCGTGCAAGAGATGCGGATTTGACAAGGCTGCGAGAGAGATCACAATCAAGGTGCATGAGTGGCCTTTGTCTTCCAATTCTTTGGAGGCCAAATCCACGGTCTTCGAGTTAAAATTGCCCAGACCGTTTGCATTCTGGCGTGATATCACTGCTTTCATCTTGCTTGATGTTTTGGGGATCAAATATGTTTCGAAAGAACCGCCTAGAGCTGAGTACCGACCACACACCTATAGCGGACTCTCAATGTTCTATACCGCGGTCGTTGATTCCCCAAGGGTTGGCCTTCTTTCCCAAGTCAAACCCCACAAAGGAACGCACAGGCGGGAAAAATACATTATCAGTGTATCAGAGAGCGACGTTTGTCTCGCGAATGGGATGCGTTTCAAATACTTTGATAATGCCCTCCGCTGCTTTACTGGAGACCTGGTCCAAACACATGCAATGGCG